TTATCTAAATGCCAAAAAACTAATCAGATCTAGATTTTCATACTAAGAATCATCCCAGAAAATTTCAAATTGATCTACCAAACGGTTCACCTGGAAATGCGTGGACAAGACTTTACAGACAAGATTTTAGGACGGAAAATCCAAAATGGCTGCCTTGACATTTACCCAGAATGCCCAACAACTAATCAGATCACAATTTTCATACTAAGAATCATCCCTGAAAATTTGAAATTGATCTACCAAACGGTTCACCTGGAAATGCGTAGACAAGACTTTACAGACAAGATTTTAGGACGGAAAATCCAAAATGGCTGCCTTGACATTTACCCAGAATACCCAAAAACTAATCAGATCTAGATTTTCATACTAAGAATCATCCCTGAAAATTTGATCTACCAAATGGTTCACCTGAAAACATGTAGACAAGACTTTACAGACAAGATTTTAGGACGGAAAAATCCAAAATGGCCGACAATAAAAAAGTGATTAAAAGTTTTTGCTGATTTCTTTTTACAAAATTATCACATATAACTACTGTTAACAATAACATAGGCTTTTACAACAAAGTACACCTGAAATTATTTATAAGGCTACTAAATAGTTAAAGTATGAAAACTGAAAAACACCATTCAATATGATACAAAGTATTATCGTGCGCTAACTTTCCTTAAAACATTCAAAATGGCTGACATAACTGAGCAAACAGGTCCAAAACTTAATCAGATCTAGAATGAAGTGAGCTGAATGAGATGTTAAAGTTTTAAAAGCAACTGTGAAGCTGTTTTTCTTAAAGTTTGCAGACAAGGATTTTAGCATTTGACTTCAAAATGGCCGACAGGAAGTAGGTATCGAGTTAATTTTTTTTCGTCCACATCTGTATGCACTCATAAGTTATCCCTCAAAATTTGACGGTGATTTCTGTAGCGGTTTTGGAGAAAACTGCCGGACGTACGGACGGACGGACATACGGACAGACGGACAGACAGACGCGCCTAGGCCGACAATATGGCCCCACACTATGTGGTGGGGACATAAAAAGAAACAATTGTACAAATCTGCAAAAAATGATCCCACAAATTCAATGTTTTACAGTAAACTGTAGGATATGCCCCATGGGGATGCAATCTCTTGTTATTGATGTTACCGGTTATACACCTTATGTGCTATAGAGTTAAAGAAGCTCAGAAGATATAATATTTTGTTAGTGTTATCTCTAAGGTTGATACCATATGTACAACCATAGAAAATATATCAAGATAAAAACATGAGCGATTTTAGCGAGATAGTGCTGTATACAAGCTGGGAAGATGGCTCAGATTTGAGCTTACTATTTATAATCCAGCTCAGGTATAAACTTGACAAAAATCCTCGTGTTTTTTCTGGCTTGTATGCGGGACTAGAGATGAGATACCAAATTACAATAAGGGTTAGTGACATTGTGGTAAGTCACACCCTCTCCATCTCTGTCCTTCTTCGAATGCAACAGAGAGACAGAGAATCTATGAGTATCAGAATTGGTTAGTAAAAAACAAGATCTTTGAAAATGGGCCTTAATATCTACAATGTGTATAATACAAGTTATCTTGCTTCAAGCAATTGTGAACTTTGAAGATGAAAAATAGATAGAAGAGGGGGGGGGGGTGAATATGACACAATTGACACGTGAATGTCATCTTTATGTTATCATATTATAGTATAGTGTTACCAGATAAAAATGAGGACTCAAATTTCAGAATTTTATGGTAATCGAATGCTTCAATAAACTATATTCATACTCATCCTTAAAACCAAGTTTGAAAATTTTGATTTGGATAGGTAATTTGATCTTTACTTCCTTTTTGGAAAAAAATAACAAATCAAAACTGTATATGTATGCACAAACACTTCAAATCAACCTGTTTAATAAAGATAGACATTTTATTAAACTTGAAACAAATTCAATAATTTCAATGTTCAATATAGAAGGACGAAGGGCAACATTAAAAAAATCTATCAAAATCTCTTACATTAATTTTTCTCAAGCAGCATTCAGATTAAACTGTTCAATATGACAAGGGCAACATTTGAATAAATCTATATAATTTCAGTGTAACTGACTTTCTGATTTGAGAAGGCGGATTAAGATTGACAATAATGAGTTAAAGGCAGGTAGAGTGATGGAAAATTGACCCGAGATTCTATCTAGAAAAATATAGAAAAAATATGAATGATAAATAATGAAAGGGGGATATAAGGTCACCAGCATGATGCCACAGTATCAGTTCTTGGATGAGATTAAATATCTGGTATTCTCTAAGACATACAAATACAATGCAGAATATTTAGAACATCTGTGTTTCATAACTGAACTGAAATTCCAGATTATAAAGTACACCCCTCAAAATTGATGAAAAATGTAGAAATCATGAAAGCAAGTCAGAGGCATCAGGTCAACAGCATAGTGCTATAGTATCAGTTCTGGGATTAAATATCTGGCATTCTTTAAGACATACAAATATAATGCAGAATATTTAGAACATCTGTGTTTCATAACTGAACTGAAATTCCAGATTATAAAGTACACCCCTCAAAATTGATGAAAAATGTAGAAATCATGAAAGCAAGTCAGAGGCATCAGGTCAACAGCATAGTGCTATAGTATCAGTTCTGGGATTAAATATCTGGCATTCTTTAAGACATACAAATATAATGCAGAATATTTATAACATCTGGGTTTCATAACTGAACTGAAATCCCAGATTATAAAGAACACCCCTCAAAATTGATTAAAATGTAGAAATCATGAAAGCAGGTCAGAGGCATCAGGTCAACAGCATGGTGCTATAGTATCAGTTGTGGGATGGGATTAAATATCTTTTTTTTGACATACAAAAAGAACACAAAACATTTTGGACATCAGATTCTGTATTTTGGGACTGATACACCCCTGACACATGAAGAAAAAAAATGTAGAAAATTAGATGATATATAACACAAGGGAGGCATAGGGTCACCAGCAGGGATGGGATTAAATGTCTTGCATTCTCCATAGCATGCCTGCAGACAACAACATACCAAGCATTCTTGTATTCAGACTGGGAATGATTTATACCCATAGTCCCAGGTTTTATAGCTCAAGTTTCTTTTTTCTACTATGGAATCTACTATAAACCTTGGCTTATGTTTATACCTATGTGAACTTGAGTGCAGATGAAGAAACAAAACAAATTTCTTTTCTTTTATATCTCTCTATTCCCATCCTCATGAGTGATTTGTCAAGGATTTGTGAGTTAAGTTACAGTAAGGAAGGGGGGAGGGGTACGGGGTAACATCCACAGAGATTAATCACTGGCAGATCCAGAGGGATCTAGTGCTAGTGTTAATATATGACTACTTTTTCACAATGGATGTCAAAGTGGAATCAAGATGCGAGGCATCAAGGTGCAAAGCATTAAGGTGCAAAGCATTAAGGTGCAAGATATCAAGGTGCATAGCACCAATGTGCAAGGCATCAAGGTGCAAGATATCAAGGGGCAAGGCACAAGGCATCAAGGTGGTGCAAGGCATAAAGGTACAAAGCAGCAAGTTGCAAGGCTTCAAGGTGCAACGCATCAATGTACAGGCATCTTACATGACCTCACCTTAACTAACCTACTAATAATCGTTCATATTCACAATATTTTGCCAGTGTTGATTCTGACCTATAGAACTATTTGAAACTATGTTCATTAATTATTATATAACAGCAAGGATGGCATTGTAACCTTAGGAAACCTCATATATACTTAGTTCACGATCTATATTGTACGTACGTGTGGGACCACGCATGTATATTTATATAAATATGTAATATTTACAAAATACTGATTCAGAACTCTTGGGGACCTAAGCATCAGTTTGAGTCCATTTTGATTCATAGTTTTAACATAATATCAAAAGTATTGTTTTTATTTGACCATATGTTTGTTATGTATCATATTTGGTATCTCCCCCCTAATAAATATGACTTTACCCCTCCCCCATTCAATATGACTCAACACCCCAGCCCAACAATATGACTCACCCCCCCAATTAATATGACTCAACACCCCAGCCCAACAATATGACTCACCCCCCCAATTAATATGACTCAACCCCTCCCCCTATTCAATATGACTCAACACCCCAGCCCAACAATATGACTCACCCCCCCAATTAATATGACTCAACCCCTCCCCCTATTCAATATGACTCAACACCCCAGCCCAACAATATGACTCAACCCCCCCCCCAATAAATATGACTTGACCACTCCCCCATTTAATATGACTTGACACCTCCCACCAGACTTACAACAATATCAAATCTCAACTGGTAAGGCAATGAGGTCTTAAAGATGACATGATATCTCCATAGAACCTAACTAGGTCTTGGAAATAATCAATGAAGCTAATCTACCTACATCAAGAGATCCAATCATTTCAATGCAGTTATAATGGCTATGATGAAAAAATAATATAAGACGGGAGAGAAGTGATGGGTGGTTTTTATTACGCATATAGTACTAGCACTCTTTTTGGAAATGAATGGTAAAACTTGAGAGGAGTCTGGGATGTTTGTGTGTTAAGACTGTAAACAAGACACGCAGTGATTAATATTGCATATTGAATAGCCAAATGGCCATCACGTAATTTACCAAGCATTCCCAAGACCAAAGCAGATCTTGGCACTAGTCTGCTCGTGCATCTATAAGAGTTGAATGGATCAGGGGGGGGGGGGTTCCTGGAATTTCGACAAGATTATGTTTTTTGCCAAAGTGCTTCAAGTGCAATTTAACCTTGTTGTATAACAGGTATCTTTATTTTGGATTAAGAGTGCAAATAAGGGTTATTTTAGTCCAGGTACAAGCCCTTGTGACCTCAACCATGTGAGAAGATGTGTAAACAAGTAGAGGGGGGGGGGTCACAAAGGCTTGTAGCCAGACCAGGGCTATTTGTGATATCTGTGTTAGCCAGTGAATAAAAAAGGTATTCTGTACTTACCCATACATTAAACTTTATCTTTTTATATGAAACTGTTTCTACGTTAAATCCTACGGTGGGAATGGTGGTCACTGATTGGCCGAGCTTCAATTTGTATAGAACAGCTGAGATACGTCAAGGAAATCAACATAATTTATTTATATTAGACATTGATTTTAAATGTTACAATGACCAAAGAAACAATAATATAGATAAAACTTAACTCACGAATCAACTTATCAGACTGTGTCAATGATCACGGCTGATCTGAACACCTCTCAATGTGAACACTTTTTCAATCCATGTTGAAAAAAACCTCTCAATGTGAACACTTCCCAATCAGAATAATTTTGGCTGATCCCAATAGCATTCGGATTTAACATATTTTACTGTATATATTTTTCATGTGTTTGAAAGCTTGTTTAATATTTAGTAGATAGTACTGATAGTAACTTGGGTTATAATTTTAGTGTAGAACTTATGCCTAATGAGCATTGCAATGCAGCGAGAAATGTTAACTTCATAAAAATATGCCAAAAATCAACAGATTATGTCAAAACATTGCAGTCAAAATATCAATTTGCATTTTTCTTGTAGATAATATTATATTATTTTATAGAATGCCCAGCTCATACTTAGTTGTAAAATGTGAATATTATTTTTTTCGAGGATGACTTTCTTAAAGGATTCCCAATGTACCAGTTCTGTTTTTCAGTTTGATTTTTCTACAGTCATAATTTGGACATAAAGGCGGTAAAACCTGTCTAATCGGAGTACCAGTGATACCAGCCAAAAGTGTTAAAATTCACATGTGTTCACATTTGAAAATGTCAACATTTTTGACAGGGAAGTCTATGGCAGATCAAGGGACATGACCAAAGTGTTCACCTTGAGAGGTGTTCAGATCAGAGAGGTATTCGGGTATATGTATTTTATTGTTTTTTTATTATTTTTATTATTATTTTTTATTTTTATTATTTCTTTTTTATTATTCGGGTATATGTATGGTTTTACTGAACATTGAAAGGTGCCATATAGCTTCTTAAATTTTTTTTCAAATTACAGGTCCTGGGTGCAATAATGCAGTATAAAGCACCCTTTATCATGCAACAATATCATTATACCATAACTATTAGTTCACTGAGACCGAAATTAATTTCAGCTAATGATTCACCAAAAGCAATTTGTTCTCATTTTTTAACAAGACACATTAAATGTATTTTATTGCGTTTGAGTCACGTAGTACGAATTAGCAAGAAAATGATTTCTATTTGATCGTTTAGCGTTATGAAAATAGAACGGTAGTTGTATTGAGTGAATGGTGTATGCATTAGTGAATAAAGTCACTTCGGCTCTAAGCGGCGAGATAAACGGACAGAAGGTTAGCATTTACAAAAGCAAAGCGTTACATTGAAAAACAAGACGAACAAAATGCAGGCGCAAGAATTAAAAGATATTTTAGACAATAAACTCCAACACATGGAGAATAAAATTGAACAAAAAATGACAACTCTAAAGCGAAAATTATCTGTCGACACAAAGGAAATGAACATCGTTTGGACGAAAAATGGGCACAAAAAACAACAATACACAGACGGTAAAGAAATGGACAAGAAACCTGAAGCCGCATTTACTGGCAAGGAAAATGGTCAATATGATCAAACGATGGATAGTAAAAAAGGTAAAAAATTTGTTATCAAATATAAATAAAACCTTCATCTTTAGCAGATAAGCATAAGGCTCAATGAGAGTCAATGGCCTAAAATTAGTTACATATATGAGTATAATAAAATAGTGGCGAAGATCTAAAAATATATATGAAAACATAACAATTACATGAGTAGTATAATATTTAATATTTGTGATTTATAACAATATATAACAATCAAATAGTGAAAGTTTCAGGCAAGATGACCTCACAAACAGTGATGGGAGAAAGGAGAAATACGACAACCGGTAGTACAACAGAAAGAACGAGATGTGACCCTACAGGTATCACAGCTGCAGATTCATGGGACAATTTACAGCCGAGTGTTACAGAAACAAAAAGTATACAGAATAGAGACACATCAAAGACAAAAAAGATAAGTACTAGTACTAGTAAAACTGCAAAAGAATTTGTCACCGTTAAGGGTAGTTTAAAGGAACATAGTAGATTTTGGCATAAAATAGAGGCTAACGATACTGTAATTGACATAATTGAAAATGGATATGTTATACCTTTAGAACATGAACCAGATAAAATTATTTTGAGAAATAATAGGTCTGCATTGGAGAATGGTATATTCGTAGAAGAAGCAATAGAAAATCTGTTAGCTGGTGGGTATGTTATAGAACAAGATAATCCTCCATACATTGTGAATCCTTTAACTGTATCAGAAAATGCAAAAGGTAAGAAAAGACTAGTATTGGATCTCAGGCATGTTAATGAACACGTGGTTTTGAATCATATGAAATATGAAAATATAAATGATGTGATACCATATTTGCAAAAAGGTGGATTGATGTCTGTGTTCGATATCAAAAGTGGTTATCATCATATAAATATTAGGGAATCACAACATAAATACTTGGGTTTCAGTTGGAAGTTTAAAACTGGTATCAGATACTTTACATTCATAGTTCTGCCCTTTGGTCTGCGTACAGGAGGATTGGTGTTTTCAAAGGTTCTTAGAGCACTGGTAAAATTTTGGAGGTCCAACAATGTGTGTATTGTTTTGTATTTAGATGACGGAATTCTAGTCAGTGAACAAAAAGAAAAGGCAATATTACAAGCAGAATTTGTCAGGAAAACATTGGCAATGGCAGGTTTTGTCGAAAATGTTGAAAAATCAAAATGGTATCCACATAGTTCGGTTACTTGGCTAGGGTTCGAAATAAACTTACAAACATTTGAAATTACAATGCCAAAGTCAAAGATACAAGATACTGAGAACATGATTATTGACATTTTGAACAAGAAAGTGAAGGTCACAGCTAGAAGATTAGCAGCAATAGTTGGAAAAGTGATATCAATGATAACTGCTATAGGCAATGTTGCAAGGTTGATGACAAGATGCTTATCTGTAGATATCAATGAAGCTCACAGTTGGGACGGCTATATTGAACTGTCAAAAAATGCAGAGACAGAACTGAAGTTCTGGGTTAAAAATTTGACTACATTAAATGGCAAGGCCATATCAGAATCTCCAAGAAAAAGGCAATTGGTGTTTTCAGATGCTAGTGATTCAGGTTGTGGAGGTTATTCGGTAAAATGTGAATCTAAAATTTGTTTCAAAACATTTACAGAAAGTGAAATGAAAATGAGTTCAACGTGGAGAGAGCTTAAAGGTGTTCTGGTGGTATTAGAATCGTTGTTACATTTATTCACCGGAGAGTCTCTAAAATGGTTCACAGACAACAAAAATGTAGAAATCATTGTAAATAATGGAAGTTCAAAACCACATTTACAAAGCTTAGCTGTTGAACTGTTCAATATATGTGTGAAGCATAAAGTAGACATTGAAATACAGTGGATTCCAAGGTCACTCAACGAAAAAGCTGATTTCCTCAGCAAATTAGTAGATTACGATGACTGGGGAATCAAAGAGGTAGTTTTTGACAAATTAGATAAGATTTGGGGTCCACACACAGTGGATCGTTTTGCAGATTACAACAACAAGAAACTCAATAGATATAATGCTAAGTACTGGAATCCGGGCTGTGAAGCAGTAGATGCATTCACACAAAACTGGTGTTCAGATATCAACTGGGTAGTTCCACCAGTAAAGCTGGTAAGAAGTGTAGTCAAACACATGCAATACACAAAAAGTTCAGGTACGTTAATAGTTCCAAAATGGCAATCGGCTAGTTTTTGGCCAAATATACACAATGGTACAACATTTCGCCCCTTTGTCAAGCAAGTCCTTGAATACAATGGTTCAATTCTAAAATCAGGATCACAATTAGAATCAATATTTCAAGAAAACCGTTTCACAGGTACTTTAATTGCATTGAAAATATGTTGTAAGTGAAAGACTGAAGTATAACAAAATGTTAATATTGACAAAGAAGAGATATGAAAGAAAAATATTTGAAGCTATTGAAACGGAAGGTGCATAAGATAAAGGGAATAATATTGTAGTACCCATTAATAAAAGTCGTAGTGCACATGATAAAGGGAATTGTAATACTATGATAATGAAAAATGTAATATATATGATAAGGGAATTGTAGTACCCATAATAAGAAAATTTGAAGTGACAATATAAAGGGAATTGTGATACTTATGATTAGGGGAATTGTAGTACCCACAATTAGGGGAATTGTAGTACCAAAGATGAAGGGAATTGTTGTTCCATGATAATGGGAATTATATCAATTATGATGATAAAGAGAATTGTAGTACCCACGAAAAATTAAACTTTTTACTGTACATAATAAAGGGAAATTGTAATACCCATGATTAAGGGAGTTTGTAGTACCCAAGATGAGGGGAATTGTTGTTCCATGATAAAGGGAATTATATCAATTATGATAAAGAGAATTGTAGTACCCACGAAAAATTAAACTTTTTACTGCACATAATAAAGGGAAATTATAATACCCATGATTAAGGGAGTTGTAGTACCCAAGATGAAGGGAATTGTTGTTCCAAGATAAAGGGAATTGTATCAAGCATGATAAAGGGAATTGTAGTACCCATGATAAACTAAACTTTTCAATGCACACGATAAAGAAAAATTGTAATACCCAAGATAAAGGGAATTGTACTGCTGATGATAAAGGGGAACTGTAGTACCCATGATAAAGGGGAATTGTAATACCCAAGATAAAGGAAATTGTACTGCTGATAATAAAGGGGAACTGTAGTACCCATGATAAAGGGGAATTGTAGTACCCGAGATAAGGGGAATTGTAGTACCCGAGATAAGGGGAATTGTAGTACCCGAGATAAGGGGAATTGTAGTACCCGAGATAAGGGGAATTGTAGTACCCGAGATGAGGGGAATTGTAGTACCCGAGATAAGGGGAATTGTAGTACCCATGGTAAGGAAAAGCGAAGTAGCCAAAAGAAGTTTTGTATAATCGTCATATTGGTCATTTGATGGATTTACCGAGCCTCAGGGCCTATTGGTTGTCCATCAGACAATGGCACTCTATTTTGTATTCATAAAATCAGTGGAAATATATTGGTAAGTGGTGGTTTTACATAAGTGAAAATATTTGTATTAAACGTCCTATTGGTAAGTGGTGGTTTTACATGAGTGAAAATTTTAAAAACACTTTACTTTTCTAAGCTGTTATGTGCATAATGTCATTTAATAAAACTTTTAAATATAAGTTATAGGCTATTGTGAGGAAGAATTGAAGTACAAGGCTGGACGAAACATGTACGTGAACATCAGCGAATTATTAATTGATATTATTTGTTATTGTAGTGATAACTTTACATAATAAATGTAGAAGGATGTCATCCAAAAATCGGTTCACTGTGACAGGTCGCAAAGAACATAGCAGAGATGGCGTATTGTTAAAATGGCAGACCCTGTATAATGTTTTTGTCTTTGTGATAATATGACGTTGAATTTTTATGTCTGAAAAGTACAATACTGGTTTTCAGTGGCTATCAAATCACTCAATGAAAAAGTACTATGGTTGAGCATACAGATTTAACAGCAAAGCCCCCAGCACAATAAGGTCATACGGCAATGCATTCGACAGATGGTAAATGTTGACGAACAATTAACCTGAAGTAGGTCTTTTACCAGCTAAATCGGAACACGTTGCTCTTTATATAACTCATCTAATACAAACTCCAAACACTGCTGCTACAGTTATTACAGCAAACTGCGAATGAGCTCAATACCAATAAAGATAGTTTGCTCAAGACAATAGAAGAATAAGCCAAAAGGACACCAGCGAAACCCACATATAAAAAGCAGCCATTTGCAACAGAAATGGTACAATGTATTATCAGATCACATATTACAAACAATTCAGATTCATTTAAATTGTGAATTATAGTCATCATAGTTTCTTGGGTTTGAGGAGTTTTATAAGAATTGATGCAATTTGTAATATTAAAAAATAAAAAGTTGTACTTTATGAGACTCATGTTCGTATTAAGATAAGACATTCAAAAACGGATGTATATAGAAATGGTAATGAATGTTAAATTGCAGTAACATGATCATTTTTTTGGGGTTCAAAGGTAAATGTAAGCAATGAAGAATACATTTTTTGAGAAATATTACAAAAGAGTATATGTTAAGGTCTATGTTAAGGTCTAGTCTAGGTCTAGGTCATGTTATAAAACAGGGTTATAAAAGATTTATTTCAAGAATATTGTAATTTAAGAATCGTAGTGTACATTTTATGCAGATACTTGTAGTTAACAATCAATTTATATTCACTTACTTTAACACTTCACGCAGCCGCAGAGCCACATGCTAATAGAATGTTATGTTTTATAAGTGTAAGTTAGAATAGAAATGTATTTTATTGCGTTTGAGTCACGTAGTACGAATTAGCAAGAAAATGATTTCTATTTGATCGTTTAGCGTTATGAAAATAGAACGGTAGTTGTATTGAGTGAATGGTGTATGCATTAGTGAATAAAGTCACTTCGGCTCTAAGCGGCGAGATAAACCAAGTAAATGTTATAATTTATAAGGAAAAATTTTCGGACAAACCTTTTTCCTTTAACCTCAATTGTTGAGGATTTCAAGAATTTTTAGCATCATATTCTTAATAGTATAATAATGGGAATTAATAGGTTTGTGATGCTAAAGATAGAAAAGGTTTTACGGGTGGTCGGAAAGTTTTTAAGTTGAAATGTTATAGATATGTTAGTAATTGTTTATTAAGTAAATGCATCACTTGTTAATTATAAACAATTTGATATTTTACAGCGGCGACGCAGCCGCAGAGCCACATTTTTGGCAAACACAGTGTCATGCAGATATGTGAACATTATTGTACAGTCAAATAATACACTCGGTTTTCTGCAGCACGCAGCCGCAGAGCCACATGCTAATAGAATGTTATGTTTTATAAGTGTAAGTTAGAATAGAAGTGATAAATATCACACTTTAAAGAGCAAAATGGCCGTCATGTAATTTACCCAGCATGCTCAAAACCTAATAGGGTATTGACACTAGTCTGCTTTTTTATAAACATTTCAAGTTGAACGTAAATATGGGCAGTGTTTCTGGAATTTATGTATCACCCACGCACCAAGCTCCCAGATGTGACCCAAAAGCACAATGGTCTAGCACTTTTTTTAAAGTGCAATTTAAATTCTCATTTTTAAAAGGATACTAGTTTTTCCAGCAGCGTCCAATCCCAACATGAGTATTCTCATTTCCCTATTGCCAAATATCTTTGACAATAACTTCCCCATGGTGACTACAGGGTGGGGCTTCTACCACTCACTCACTGTTGTCCACGTCCGGTTCCTATGTAAGTCCTGAAACCTGAAAGAACACAAAGAACAATATGATTACAGAGGATATATATGGTGACTACAGGGTGGACTATCTACTACATACTCACCTGGAAGAAACACAAAAAATATGATTAAAGAATATCTATTATATAAGCCCATAAATCCAGGTTACTAATATACAGATCGCAAGGGTTCACTATTTTTGGAGCACCCTGTATATTGACCTTTATTTTCAAGCATAACAAAAATAATTGTGTTTCTAGTCTATCTTGGGTATACAGTAAAATCTCAGTAGTGAAACACCTAAGTCGAACACCTCCCAAGTTAAACACTTTTAAATGTATCACAGGTATTCTACACTCCCAATCTGCACTATAAAATCACGGTACCGTATAGTACATTAATAGTATGGTATCATACGGTACCATTGGAGTATGGTATTGTACAGTGTTCACGGTACCGTATGGTACCATTTCAGTCCGCGGTACTGTATGGTACCATATTTCACGGTACCGTATGGTATCATTGCCAAAACGGTAACGTACAGTACTGTTGAAGATTGGCTGTGTATGTGTAGACGCTTTACTGTAGTTTCTATAATTGACAAGTCTGGTTTATTTTTCAGTACCTAGCATGATCAAAGTTTGGAAAGGTTATCTAAAAAGTATCATTTTACAACACACAACATCTAAGACTTTATATTTAGGACAAACATATGTCAAGAATAGAACTTACATAAGAACCCCATTTACTACTTTGATTCTAAGAATCCAAATCTTCCATCAATTTTGTAACAATAAACTGAATTGTGCTTTTTCACGAATCAAAATACTTTATTGGTTGTTTGCCTTAAACACTTGAGCATTGCAATAAAAGCCTATATTACATTTCAATTAATTGTACTAACTACAATAATATTTTATTACATTTTGATTGTTACTATTAATTATAGAGTGATACATATATTGCGTTATTTTTAGCACTAGGCTATGATCAGTAGTTTAAAATCATCAACAACGATATTATTGGTTGCTAAATTTAAGCAATTTGTATCTATTAACAGATGGTAAACGATTGTAGAGGTGCAATCAAGGTTCAAACGAAGATTGCTAGCTGAGTCTTGTATACCACTGCCCCCAGGATTCCGTGTTTGCAGAGCGCGGACGGAATTTGCCTCTGCCCGCGGAATTGCAGAATCAACTATTTTGGTCAATTTCCGCGGAATTTTCCGCAGAATCCATATATTTTCCAAAAGTTTAAAAAGTCAGTCTTACCTGTAACAATTTGACACGTTTTCAGTCAAATCCCTTGCAGAAATAACCCAAATTATGCGAAGTGAAAATTCTAAACGCCATCGTTTGATTTCTGCCGTTAGATGGCAGCATGTATGTAGTGACTGACTACCTGACTATCACGATATTTTCCCGTTTACTGGTTCGAAAACCATTAATATCCGCGGAATTTCTGCAGAATTAGCCCTTTCTTCTTGCAGAATTCACTAATTTCACTTGCAGAATTGAGCATTTTAACTTGCAGAAAACTGGGGGGAGTGGTATACATGTATAATACAGTACATATGTACAACAGTACATGTATATTATGTATTTAGTTAACTTTATTTAAGGTGTTTCACGATACCTAAGATAAGGATAGAAATTCAGGATATGAAGACAAGTTTGGATACAGACTATTCAGTCATATCCATAATGCAGACATTAATTGGTTTGTCTGACATTCATTTAAATAAACAAATACAGGTATCTTAGCAAAAAAGTAAAATCTCACACCATTTTGTAATTGGTATTTCATTTATATTTTCAATCTATACATTAGACCGTAACACCCACCGTCACTCCCGCCCTCTTCCTATCTATTTCCCATGTCAAGAAAAGGTAGAGGAGCTATATACGTATATCTTTTATCCTCATACTTATCAGCTATTTGTGTATATATGTATAATTAATCTTCTCATATCATTATCAATTAGCTCATAGGTAAATATTGTTATGATTATAATACATTGAAATACCAAGGATCATGCTAGAAGTGAAACCTGTATATCTGAACACCTCTTAATGTGAAAACTTTTTGGGTCCCATTTTCTTTAATCTGCCAGAGACTTCTATGCTAAAAAACCTCATAATTTGATCATTTGTCAATATGAACACATTTTGTTGATTCCAATTAGCATTCGGATTAAACATGTTTTACTCCAGGGGAGGGGGCAGTGATTTCCACAGGATTTTTTTTCAGGTGGGTGCAAAATTCTTATTTTCACAATTCAGACCAAAATTATTTAAGGGGGGGGGGGGAGGGTGGGGGAGGGGGGAGGGTGGGAGGGGGGCTGCACCATATAAAACACTCATTGTCTTTATCTGTGGAAACAAACTTTGACAAGTGAAGATTGTATAATGGAAAATGTAACAGACCGGGATATTTTTCAAACAAAAAGAACAACAACTGTTAAGAAGTTCTAGATTTCCGGATATGAGGTATACTTAAAAAACTGATAAGGGTGACGGGGGATACAAATCTAAAATTCTAAATACTGTATTTAAACCCTTATGATTTTTATCTAGTAACCTCCTCAGCATTAAAGCAAGTGGGCCCAGCATCTACCTGAGATTTTATAAACAGGCTTGCACCCACCTGAAAATCTATTTGCACCTACTTAATATGAGAAAAATCATGAAAAATTGTTAAGTTTTGACCGACTTCGGATTTAAGTTGAGAAAATGATAATTTCGCACCTACTTGAGAAAAAATCTTGTGGAGAACACGGTTAACCATTTATAATTTCTATAACTGTAAAAATTAGTTTCAGGTTCAGTTTAACAGTCATATAATGAGAGAAATACTAACATTGATTATAAGCCCCGTTATTTCCTGATTTACATCTACTTATCTTAAACAAACCAGGATAGTTAGTGGCGCTAATAGGCCAACATGTTCGTATGTAATGATGATTAAAACAGAGAGTGTTCTCATTTCACTTGAATGACGACTTGTAAAACGTCAATATCTTGTTTTGATCTTAAATTCTGCCTTATTCTTGAGCTACAGTGAAACCTGTAAATCTGAACACTTTTCTAATCTGAACACCTCTCAATATAAACACTTTTTCTCACTCCAAATTTTTCATTTCCCATTAACCCATGTATTTAAATACAGATTACTCTAAAGCTGAGCTTGCTTTACGATGGGTGACCATAAAGTTTTAATAATATCTCTTTAATATTTTTACTTCACAATATATTTTTATAAATTTGTCAAACACTTCTATTTTTGATAGATTGTTGATTCTATGTTATGTGAACATTTCATCTAAAAAGAGAAACAATACAAAAACTTTTTGATCATCCCTCGTACAGACATATTAATAGCACAGATTGTTAATATGATTATAATGTAATTGATGTTCCAATCCTAGACAGTAATTATAATATATCTTTGATCAACCTAATTTCTAGTTACCCCTTCATATTATGGCTTAATTAGCATAATATGTGCCTACTAGTTCAACTAACAATACATTAACAGAATGTGAAAATATGACATGAACACAGAGTGACCCAATAAATGCCTACAGTATACTTACAGAACATGAAACTACGACAAGAGTACAGAGTGACCCCAAAAATACAACCCATTGATAGATATAAATATATTGATATATTGGATGATTATTATTTATATTAGAACAAGAAAGGGGGGGGGGCTTCATTTACCAGTCAAAACAGACTGCCCTGGCCTCTTTGAATCAGTAATACACCCAACAATAGCCATCAAAATATGCTTGATACCCATCAATTTGGGTTAAAAAATGTTCATATATGTTCATATATTTGTTCTTACAAGACAAACATATAAGTAGTTTGTCCAAGCTGATTTTTTTTAATCAAGATGGCTTGGACAAAATCAAACGAACAGCAAGGTGAATGAATCATTTTAAAACTGAGTCCCAGGCTGCAATTTTCAGATTTTGCTCCAATTTTGGGAGGATCACTTTTACTAGTAGCCTCTAAAAGTGAAAGTCAAAGCATTTCAAGACAATTAACACACAAATATGTTATGTTCCACATCATACCAACGATCTATGATATTAGTATGTACATGTATATATTAGACAGAGAAGGAAACTTCTAATCTCATTAAAATTTAAAGATGTTAATTTAAGAGCAAAAAAGGCTCCAAAACTTAATGAAATATGTAGTTTGGATGTTCATTTATGTCTGTGGATTATATTTTATACCACAAACACTTCATAAATACCTGAAATTTGCAATAAAAGTGCCCAAAAATTGTTGTTTCGAAATTCCCCATTTTTCCTGTATCGCGCTAGTCACGTGACCATTACGCGTAGCAGGCAATGTACAGATATTACAGTACATATAATATGTTCAATATGGCAAACATCAGCGATTCTGATTCCCGGGTTCTGGGAAATGGCTATATAAATCGGCGAGAGGGTGTAATTTGAATGAAGACAATTTAAGGAGGGGAAATGTGTGCAAGTATGGCAGTAAGAGAGCAGATATGGGGACTTTAGACAAGAACTATGACGGAGAATCAACTAAAAATGTGAGTTCTGGAATGAAGACCCGTTGCCATTGACTGAAGATTCCAGCGATCCTAGCGGAAAACAGATTATGAAAACAGGGTTTCTGCAAAGTTATCAAATTTAGAAAATATGGATCTTGTTTTTGAGTGGCTTAACAAGCATTTAGATACAAGACAGTCTTGACTTGGCGCTATCTCTTGTCAAATACATGCACTGGACTTGCAGTAAATTGGCCATTGCAAATTGCAAAATCAGATCGTCAAATTAATCGCTTCGTTTTTAAACCTACGCTTCATATCTTCTTCCAAAACTTTAGGATTCGATAGAGATAAGTTATAACTTATACAGGAAAAAATGGCAGATCCTACCTTAATTTAGAATCGCTGATTTCTCTAGACAAATTCAGAGAAGAAATTGTTCAACATCGCGAACACCTCAGACAACATGTCGCGTGCGTGTCACTCTGAACTCACGTGATAAAATACGGCATCTTGATTGGTTACTACTCGTGTTGTCATGACACGAAAAGCAGTAGTAAACACTGAATATGTTAATGAACTGCCATATATGGAACAATTGTCTTTCTGATTGGTTAACTTTACACGCGTCCTAAATGAATATAGTAGTCGTAGTAAATGATTCATTGATAACTCTGAAAGTGGGCGTGACCAGCTTCATTTTGACACCAAATTCAAGATGTTTCAAATCAAAATGGCCTCGCAAGACGAGGTTGAAATATCAGCAATTTGATACTGATATGGTCTACGATAGATCAAAATTGCCTGCCCCGCGTCACATGTCACGTGAGCCTATATTTGTTGAAAAGTGAAAGAGATAGTGACACTTTTTAATCTTAAGTTTATACCAATATTACAAACAGATATCTATTTTTTTCATTATATATTTATTTCTTCATTATACATACATTTGTTTTATACTACATTGATTTATTTTTGCAAAACCTTTGCTATTAGATCTTTAAAACAAAACTAAAAATTCAAAACATGACATAAGTATGTCAACATTTGTGAAGACAATATGTTGGGTGAGCAATTGCTTCCTTATTTTGATTTTTAGATCATTAATATGAGATTTCAATGGTTATACAAGTCAACCCATATAGCTCAGCAGTAGAGCACATGTACCAATTATGCATAGGTCCCGGATCGATCCCCAGTTCAGGCACTTTGCTTGTTGCGTAAAGTACTTCAGACGGTTTGACTGAGTAGTCCACGACTCGTAAAAAGGCTTTGTACTTGTATGTATAAGTGCACAAAAAAGAACACAGGGCTCCTTCAAGGAGGGGTTCCTTGGTCTACCTTTCACGATTACATGCGTTAATTACGACTGTATATACATGGGATATCTAAGAGGCATTGCTCACCTTCATTGGTGGTAAACAAAATACAATTCAATACAAGGGTCGAAACACAGTATGTACTAAACTGTACAGTAATGAAGTAGAAACATCACAGCATTTACTTTGAATCCAGAATCAAATCATTCAATTGACCAGTCAATAAATCAATATAGTTGACTACTATGCTTCAAATAACCGTTTAAATTGAATAATTTCAATTTACACACTGTTCACAAAGCCGAAATTCTGCATTATTTATGTTGTACTTTTATATAACAATAGCTAATAACGGATTACATTTATAATCTGGATATTGGCTATGGATGTGATTACTGTATAAGAGGTAGGACTAGAGTCCCTCTTGATTTTATGAGAGCAGTTGAGCAGGGCCCCCAAAAAGATTTTCAGCTGAGAAGGGCCCCCAAAAAGATTTTCAGCTGAGAAGGGCCCCAAAAAGATTTTCAGCTGAGAAGGGCCCCAAAAAAAATTTTCAGTTGAGCAGGGCCCCCAAAAAGATTTTCAGTTGAGCAGGGCCCCCAAAAAGATTTTCAGTTGAGCAGCGCCCCCAAAAAGATTTTTCTACCTAACAGTACATAAACCCTGACAGGAGATAATAAGCATTATCAAAATTTATTTCTGGAGTTGAAGTCTATTTATATAAATTCTTTTCATTGCTATTGCTGTTAATAAGCTTATTAGCCTCTTGCAAATAATAATGTATCTATATAGCTGTTTTAATATTATTAGACAGAAAAGTAAAATAAAACCTGCATATACTTTGGTACATTTTACTTGGAAGGTGTTTCACCTAAAGAGGTTCATTAAGCATTGAGTCTTGGGACTTTCAAGTGTTCTACTTAAGGGGTGTTCCGCTTATAGAGGTTAATTTTAGCTTTGAGTCAATTGGTCCTGGGACTCTGAAAAGTGTTCTACTTGGGAGGTGTTCGGCTTATAGAGGTTCATTTTAGCATTGAGAGTCAATTAGTCTTGTGACTCTGAAAATCTCACAGTTTTTCACCATTCTGAAAATTTTTCATGTGATTATGGGCAGTTTTGGGCCAAGGTTGTAAAAATGGAATCTTAAAAAGTACCCCTCCACCCCTTAGCAAATCTTGGCTATGGGCTTGCACTTCAAGGGGTTTCCCATATAAAAATCACATAAAGTTAAATTTAAATTATTTGAGAGGGTAAATGTTTATAATGTGTGGTCCACTGATTTAACAGTTTACCTTTGAAAAGTGAAGATATATCTTAAAGACATAACTAGGGGGTGAACAAAACCAATACCTCTTTAAGAAAAAATAAGAGTAACAGAAGCCTAGCAATTGTTACAGAGAATGAATACCAAAGGTATCATACAAAATACGAAATACAGACAAAAATGGAACCAGTTACTATATGTTACTACTTCATTGTGGTGACATAAAACTGTAAGGTCTCTTTACTGGTCCTTCAATTTTTGGTCAAAAGACAACTTCTTCATTGAATAAGCCTCTGCAACTCTCTTCAAGTAAAGCTATAGATTCAATGGAACACAGTTTGGATAGACGACTAAATTGAGAAGCCAATCTTTATTTCGAAACCATAGTGTTGTGATAAGATGCGTTTTGGATTGCAAAAGATAAATAAACATTAGTCAAGCATATGAGAGCATAAGCATGCCAAATTTACCCTAGAGGGGGAAACACCCCAGAGTTCAAAGATGACACACGCTTATAATATCAATCTGTATTGAGAAGACACATCTCTGAATGAATCTCAGTCAAAATCGGCAAACAAATCATGTCATCAAAATTTTTGAAATATGCTTCAAATAACATTATGTACATTTCTCACGGATTAAACCAATATCAGAGATTCTTATTTCATATCAAGATAGTCTAAAGAAAGGTACGGAATATGCCATCCTTCTCATCAATATAACATCACATCGAAATGTAGTATTTAGAAAACAGATGTTGAAAATTTGGAAGAAAAACGAAGATGGTAAGCAAGAGATGTTATCATGTCTGTTATCTCAAAGGTCTGGGTCTTCCCCTCTTCATTCACTCATACCAGTATTCCAGATTCACTTCCTGTTTTGAAGTAAAAATATGAACATGCAACACTGTAAACAACATTCATCGTTATTCAAGCCACATCACAAAACATATTGTCAACTTTGAATGACTTCATTTTCAAACATTTCCAGCCAGATGGATGCAAAGACGTGTATGTACTTTCGTCAGTTATGACTAAAAACAAATCACCTCATATTTTTCAATTTTTCTGAAAAATCAAAATATTTCAAGTATTCAGATCCAATTATCACAGTAAATAGAGGATGTACTTACCAACTTACGTATCTATACGTTTTTCAAACAATTGAACTGTTACTTCAGTGTAATAAATCCATAAATTAGATGCATATATTAGTCAATTTTACTAATATTAGTGGGATAATTATAAACATTTCTTTCTAGCAATGTCGGTTGCGCCCTTTCACTCACATCACTAGATAATATAGTTCTTTGCTTTTTTATTGATTTCGCAGACAAACATCAAAAGCTAGCATTAATATTTCAATACAATAAATAGGGAATATTTTGCAATCTTAAAAACCTGGTAACATTAGCATTGAAGACTGTAAATTGCAATTAAGTGAGTCGCGCAATGATTTAATTAGCGGAAGGATAGAGAGGGTGTGTCTCGCGGTTTACGGGATTTCGACGAGAATATACGAGACTTAAAAAAGCATCTGCAGAAAAAAGTTTGTGATTTCTCTCCATTTCTTGATCCAATCTGAATTGAAAATTATAAATTAAAGACACTGGATATGGAAATAGGTATATGTTTTTACTGACTGATGAATGATATGTTTTATACCCTTTTGTAAGACATATCTATCGTATTTATTCCTATTATCGCCCACTTCTTAGTCAATTATTTGAATTTCGAACTTTTCGATCACAACAAAAAGCTGCAAGACAAAAGTCAAATGATCAAAACGTGAAAATGAAACATTTCAACTGAGAGTGACATGGGAGAGGTCAGCCTTTCTCATATTATTTTTTATTGAGTTAGGGTCACAACAAAACCGGTCACAACAAAACTTGCATCCTGTGTTAGGGTGTGCATACCTGCCAACCTTAGACCAAAATTTTGCGGTAGATTTTTTTAAAATTGCTGTATTTTTGCGGTAGATTTTTTCAAAATACGGTAGTTTTTGCGGTATTTTTCAACAAAATTACGGTAGTTTTTGCGGTAGATTTTAGAAAAATCGGTAGTTTTTGCGGTAGATTAAAAAAAAACTGTAGTTTTTGCGGTAGATTTAAAAAAATACGGTAGTTTTTGCGGTAGATTTTTAAAAAATACTGTAGTTTCAGAGGTTTGCGGTAGGAATTTGAAAAAGCGGTAGTTTTGCGGAAGATTTAGAATAAATGCGGTAGTTTTACGGTGGATTTAAAAAATGCGGTAATTTTTACGGTAATTTTTTTGAAAAACCGGTAGTTTTGTAGTTTTGCGAAAGATTCTGAAAAAATGGGGTAGTTTTACGGTAGATTTTGAAAAAATGCGGTAATTTTTTTAAAAAACCGGTAGTTTTGCGGAAGATTTTGAAAAAATGCGGTAGTTTTACGGTAGATTTCGAAAATTGCGGTAGTTTTTACGGTAATTTTTGGAAAAAACTGTACTTTTGCGGAAGATTTTGAAAAAATGCGGTAGTTTTACGGTAGATTTTGAAACTTGCAGTAGTTTTTACGGTAATTTTTTGAAAAACTGGTACTCTTGCCAAAGATTTGCCAAAATGCGGTATTTTTCGGTAGATTTTGAAAAATGCGGTAGTTAAACCTTTATACAATGCGGTTTTCTATATTAATACAATGTTTACGTGGTCATATTGTTTTTGTTATTGTGAATACATATTTTACTGCAAGAGTGCTTTTGATAATTACAGTTTGTAAAGCAGAACTACCACCTGAGAATTATACGAAACTATTATTTTCAAGAAAAAATAGATATACTATTTTCAAGAATAAATAGAGACTAAACACTTTTTATTCTTCATTTACCATGCCTACAATGGACTGACAGCAACTTTGGATTTTAATGTTTCAGCAAAATGTACATGTATATGAATACAACTCTTTTACAACTCTTTTACAATAAATCTAGATTGATTCAAAATACGAACACAATATTCATATCTCCACTTTTATTCACCTTCTAACCAGTTTTTTTAGATATCAGGATGTTTGGAAATACCAATGAAACATTTACTGAAATACAAAATATGGATTTTACACGTTTTTACTCATCATCTTAGATGATCTATCACTTTAACGAATTGAAATGACAGACATAATGTTCATATAACATTGGAATCATATGGTATTAAATATTGATTTGTTCACTCGCAAGTCTCTAATGATATCAATGTGTTTGTCTGGCACAAATAGAAAATAAGTACAGATCAATTGTCTTTCAAAAATAATATGTTATGAGCATTTGCTGAAACCTTTCCCCTGAGACATCGTTCAGATTCGGATATCACAATACTTTTATAATAAACCCAAACTCAATGCTTTATTTTTTAATTATGTATTTGTTACTGATATAATGTGTTCTGATGAAAAATACAACATTTTATCGTACTGTAAACAAATTGATTTAACAAATCAAACTACGCATATTTCATACGCTAAAACAATATTTTGAGTCGGTACGCACACACGGGCTGCCTGATTGCGTGGCCGATTTGCTTCCCCGGGAAGTATTTTTTCAAGTACGTTATTTGATGGAATCTAAGCGTTTTTATCAACTTTAAATGTTGACAATCGTAAAAATACAGACACGGTAGGAAGCATCAATAAATTCGCAAATAAATTAATGCATTTTAACAAATTTTTATTTTTTTCAAATTCATTTGGTACGCCTGTGCGTATTTTGCGTAATAGGCGCTACGCTCATATCTGTGTACAAAAGGGTTTGGTTAACTACAAAAATCATGGCAGAACGAATTCTTTCTAGCTAGTGGTAGTTGGTGTTTGGACGCAAGCTTACACGCAAGCTTACTTAGATAAATGCGCAATAACCTGATAACCACAGACCTGCCGATACCTATTTATATTCGGGTTGGTGAAGAAATATTACAGGGACGGTACAGGAAGACTTCCATTTTTCAGCATTTCCCAACAATAACGGGAAATTTTACGGTAGTTTGAACAAAAATACTGTTGATTTTAGCAGAAATACGGTAGATTTTCGAAAATTTACGGTAGATTTTCAAAAGTTTACGGTAGATTTTACGGCCGTTCTCATGGAATAAACGAGTTTTAAAATAAAGAATTTACGGTAGATTTCGAAAAAAATACGGTAGATTTTTTTACGGGCGTTTTTACGGGAAAAAGATGGTATTTTTTTACGGTAGTTTGTCATTTTTTTACGGAAAAACGAAAGATTTACGGTAGATTCCCGTAAAAATACGGTAGGTTGGCAGGTATGGGTGTGTATCATGGCCAACCATTGACAAAGGGGGAAAAACTAAGAGTTCAAAGATGACACTAGCTTATAATGTAACCTTGTATTGAGAAGACCTTACCTTCTAAGGCCAATATTGTGGCCTTCATCCAAAGATAAATCCCTGCATGTTTTATACTGCTGTAATCATAAAATCAAATCAAATGTTCGCCATTTTTCCACATCACAATTTGAATTGAAATTACTTCTAGCCAAGAATTGGCTAGAGACTCAAGTAAAGAAGACCTACGTCTCTGATTGGTCAAAATTGACAAACAAATGACGTCATTATGGCGGCATCAACATTTTCGAAATACGAATAATATAAGTTCATTTCTGGCTGATATGACCAATATCATAGCTTCTTATTTCACATCAAGATAAAAGAAAGGTTTACAGAATGTGCCTACATCGATTAAAACATGACATCGAAGTGTAATCTAGTATTTGGAAATTAGACATTGAAAATTTGGACAAACGAAGATGATAAGCAAGAGACGTAATTATATCCGTCTAAGCTCTGGGATTTCCCCTCCTCTTCGTTTGACAAATCACCATCAACTGTAACTTCGTGAAAACTGAATCATTGTGTCGATACCCCCATAAATTTTGATTTTTCAAATCACCCCCTCAACTACTTGTGTATTGAAATCTCTTGGTTGGATTAGTGGTTACTTAGATAAATTCACCTTTGTGTCAACTACTGACAACGTTTAACAACCCAAAAATTTCAATACACAAGTAGTTGAATACTAGTTCAATATTATGCGACCTTTGGACAATTTTTACTCTTTCATATATTTCAGGAGAAGACAGTCGGGGAAACATATTCAATGAGGTTGGGAATGACACACCACTCGGTCCCGGAGGAGAAACCCCAGCAAGAACCCCAGAAGTTGATTCACCTCATAAGTTACAAAATTCCCGTTCAGGGTCTCCAGCTTATGACGTAGAAACTGGAGATGGAGAGCGGAATCCAGAGCCACCTCCTGAACTGGCAAAATCGATGGATCTATTAAATGCAGATAATATAGGGGGCACTGTGTTCAGTAAACATTGGGTATTCAGTACATTGATGAAACTCATACAGGTAAGTTACAGATTTGGGGAGAGTTGGGGTGTATTGGGTGCTCAGAAATTTTAGAAGAAATCGCTGGGAAAATAACATCATATAATTCAGTTCTTTGCTTTATGAAAATGAAATGATCATGGACCTGAAATCTCTTACATCACACACTGCTTTTTGGGAGAAAATGTAAAATGGCATCGCCCTTTTGGTAAAAGTGTCTGACTCTAAAAGTACAATTTTATTTACTTGGTAGAAAGCAACATGTCATCAAAATCAATATTATATTCACATTGGGACTCCTCACATTTTCTCCTTTCCAATGGTGTATTCAAATCTTATATCCTAGTGCAGTTTGTTGAACTTCGTGATGTTTTATTGAAGTTTTGCATTTTTAAGATATTTTCCTTCAGATCTCTCAGCTTCAAACAATGTTTTCTATCTGTACTTTAGGAAGTTGAAAAGGATGTTGAATCTAAAGATCCTGATGAAATCAGAGAGGTGAACGAAGATCTCCAGGATGAGCTCTGTAAACTATGGGACATTGCAATGGACAAGGTACATTACTGTATACAGTGAAACCTGTATATATATCTGAACTGTATCAAATGACTTACAATTGTTACAACTCTCGCAACTTAATGACATTGTGATATTTCCCAAAGAAAGTTTGTGTCAATCATTATTGATGTTCTATTGTTTCTTATCATTTTGATTTTTTGGAGCATTTCAGGAACAAGTTTAAAAACATGATTAATTTCGATTTTCAGGATGTTGCTGCATTTCTTCAAGAATTCCAGGCTGTAGAGATTCTCACTGGAGTTATCGCCAAATCTCATGCCCCTAGACTCACAGTAAGTAGGAATACTTATGTCACCCCCCTGCCCCCCAAGAAGTGGTGACACCGTTATAGCCATTGTTTTTTTGGTCCACAGTTCATTTCTGCTAATATAATTGCACATTCGTAACATTATTTGGTTGCTTTACGTGAAGCATCATTTTTGGTTTTTCTAGAAGGATTAGGCGAAAGAATAATAAGTTAACTACAGGAAAAAACTTTGTTTTTTAATTATAACTATAAAATTCATATTTTTCTCAAAATCTATGTTATTTCTGGAATCCCAATTTGTTTTCCTTAAAAGTCACATTTTTGAATATTGTAAAATATTTTCTACCTTTTGTTACTAGAGTACAATGGACCACATTAACAATAAGTCAGTATTCATAAGGTATTAATATGTCATCACCACTAGTGGTGACATATTGTTTTAGTGTGTAGTGTCCCAACTTTTATGTGAATGATGTTTGGCATTTAGCCGTTGGTGTTTGAGAGTCAGTGTTTGGCATTTTGGTGTTTGGTGACATTTTTAATGTAAATGCGTTGTTTTAAATGGAATGAATGGATTCTCTGAGTGTAATATTGTTTGGCACCTCATTTTTCAGGAAATCTCCATTGGCATTCTGGGCAATATGGCATGCCATAAACAGATCTGTCCCGTCATCACTGAAAACAACGAACTTGTGTGAGTCTGTTTCATTTATTCCATCGCTTAATTCAGATATTACCCAGGCTAGTGAGGATAATTCTGAGATATGTTGGAGGATATAAGGCATTCAAAATATTTGTGATTTTTAAAAATCAGTGCAATAGATGAGATGCGAGTAGAAATAATCTCGATTTGCATCATAAAATATTCAAATTTCAGTCAAGTGATATCATATTTGAATATATAATTACATATTCGATGTAAAGTAGATAATCAAATTCATGTGCTTATTCCTCTTGGTAAAACTAGGCTTAATAATGAACGATGCCAGTTTTCAGTATTTTTCTCTACTTTATTTCAGGAAGTTGACCCTACTGCTGTTGGAAACGCCCGATGCTCCTACTCTTATACAAATCACCAGGTAAAAGAACTTTGCAATTTATAGATTTAAAGTAAGTAAAATTCTTCTGATCAAATATCTGTTCTTAACCATTCCAAAATTGTTCCGTTCCAAAGCCAAATGTTTTTAACCAAACCATTCTGATTTTTTGTTCCATGACACCCCTACTTAAAACACAACTGAATAAAAAACATCTTAATTGAAAAAGCACTAATACTCACACTATATTCACTCTTTACACCTGTAGGTTGCTGTATGTTTGTCTCAGTAGTGAGGGGAGCAAATGTTCTTGGATACCAGCTATCAAACAACACGAGACAGTGCTTCAGAACATACTGTTTGTCTTCAACAGTTCAACCAACAGTAAGTTGGAGTGAACTACTCAGTCGAAGTCCCCCCCCCCCCCTTAAAAGCAAAAGAACATGGCCATTTTCAATGTTTTCAAGATGCCTCTAGCCAGTTTTCATCTTGAGGTTTAAACTTTAAGGAGGTAGATATTCTTTTACAACAACTAGCCAACAGTAAAACTTTTGTCCAAAAATGAATTTAATTAACACGTCTTATTACATGTATGTGGAATTTCTTAAGCTTTTCTATTTACTTGAAAACTTAAAAAATGGGAAAATATCTACTGGTCTTAATATTGAAGAATTTTATTTGTATTGTAGATGACTTGCTGAAGAACATGGGAGAATTAGTGGATAAATTACTAGAGATGGATGAAGAAATCTGTACCCAATGGGCCACTGTACAATTTGTCCAGTCGCTGCATGAGGCTATTAAGCAGATTGGGTAAGACATTTTAACATGATGGTCTAAATCTGTACCCAATGGGCCACTGTACATTTTGTCCAGTCACTGCATGAGACTATTAAGCAGATTGGGTAAGACATTTTAACATGATGGCCTAAATCTGTACCCAATGGGCCACTGTACAATTTGTCCAGTCACTGCATGAGTCTATTAAGCAGATTGGGTAAGACATTTTTACATGGTGGTCTAAATCTGTACCCAATGGGCCACTGTACAATTTGTCAAGTCATTGCATGAGACTATTAAGCAGATTGGGTAAGACATTTTAACATGGTGGTCTAAATCTGTACCCAATGGGCCACTGTATAATTTGTCCAGTCACTGCATGAGGCTATTAAGCAGATTGGGTAAGACATTTTAACATGATGGTCTAAATCTGTACCCAATGGGCCACTGTACAATTTGTTCAGTCGCTGCATGAGACTATTAAGCAGATTGGGTAAGACATTTTAACACGATGGTCTAAATCTGTACCCAATGGACCACTGTACAATTTGTCCAGTCACTGCATGAGGCTATTAAGCAAATTGGGTAAGACATTTTAACATGATGGTCTAAATCTGTACCCAATGGGCCACTGTACAATTTGTCCAGTGACTGCATGAGGCTATTAAGCAGATTGGGTAAGACATTTTAACATGATGGTCTAAATCTGTACCTAATGGGCCACTGTACAATTTTTCCAGTCACTGCATCAGGCTATTAAGCAAATTGGGTAAGACATTTTAACATGATGGTCTAAATCTTTACCCAATGGGCCACTGTACAATTTGTCCAGTCACTGCATGAGACTATAAGCAGATGGGGTAAGACATTTTTACATGATGGTCTAAATATATACCCAATGGGCCACTGTACCATTTGTCCAGTCACTGCATGAGACTATAAGCAGATTGGGTAAGACATTTTTACATGATGGTCTAAATATATACCCAATGGGCCACTGTACAATTTGTCCAGTCACTGCATGAGACTATAAGCAGATTGGGTAAGACATTTTTACATGATGGTCTAAATATGTACCCAATGGGCCACTGTACCATTTGTCCAGTCACTGCATGAGACTATAAGCAGATTGGGTAAGACATTTTAACATGATGGTCTAACTTGATTGACTATAAGGCTGGGGTAAACAAATGAATTTATTTAACAGGTGTAACCAGGCAGTGTGGGCCATATCCACTTGACAGTAGCCCCAGGCGCATGTAAATATTTAGAGTCGAGTGTAAAATTGAATTGCCTTGCCTGGGACATTGTCGAACATGAAAAACATAAAATTTGCCATTGTTGAACAATTATAGAACAAAGTCAATTTTAGTTCTAACTTTTTTCATAAACATATTCAACTCTTCTTTTTAAAGATTTTTATTAACAAGAAAACTGTGGGTATACATATCATCAGTGGCAACACTTTGGCGAGTGTAATCTTTCATTGGCGAGTGTGAAAACACAAGTCGATTGCCACTTGGCGAGTGACAGAAAAATCTTAAGACCCTCACTGCCAGGGGGTGCAATTGCTTACTAAGTTCCTGCATTAGATTAATTCTTGTACAACTGTGTCTTATGTTCAGTAATTCAATGTGCTGCATGTACATGTACAATCGTATTACCATATATTTAATATGTACAATACTGTTATATCATGTACAATAATAATTTAATATGTACAATACTGTTATATTATGTACAATAATAATTTAATATGTACAATACTGTTATATTATGTACAATAATAATTTAATATGTACAATGCTTTATATTTACAATTTTGTCACATATTCTAGTTTTGATATGTTACAGAGAGAGACCAGGGGAGATCATTGGCACATATTTCCATATATGTCAACTTCTGTCGACTACTGAAGTGGGTGTACAGGCTTTAGGTAAGTTTCTACTAATTTCTACTATGTAATGTTCAAAATGACAAATAAATTGATAAAATGTTTTCTTTAGTGGGATATGAGGTTTTTCAGATTGATATTTTTCAAAAATTTCATACATCTCAAAACTTCAAATAATTTAGGCAATTAAGGGTGGTCTCAGTATATGTTAAGTCCCCGTCACCTGGGCAGTCAAATTGAAAACAATTGATGACTTTCCTAAAGGAAATCCAGTATGTTTTCTAACCAATTTCGAAAGTTTTTTTGTCATCACAACGATTGGTTGTCATAGTCATAGTTGACAATTGGCATCTGTAACAAATGGTAGGTGTTGACATTTTGCATGTTAATGCCTTGTATTTTAATGTTTGTAGTATCAGACGTGGACAACATCGGCTCTTCCCTTCTGCTATACTTGGACCATACATGTAATGATGACACCATTAAAGTCATTGGGGAGGAGAATGTACTTGCATCTGCAATTTGTGTACTTAATTCATTCTACATGTCAGCAGGGAGGAACTCAGTTGTCAGAGACCAAGGTATTTTCACAATTATTGACTTGTATAGGGAGTATAACGTCTAAACATACACAGGGGCTTGATGCATAGTTATCTTGGATTATTTAAAGAGAAACAGTAGAACCTGTGTAAAGTAGATGCCCTTGGGACCATTAAAAGTGTTCCACTTGCGAGGTGTTCCACTAATAGAGGTTCATTAACATTGAGTCAATATGTCGCAGGACTTTTGAAAACCTGTTAAACTTATGATGTGTGCCACTTATATATAGGTGTTCCACTTACACATAGGTGTTCCACTTATGTGGGTGTTCCACTTACATATAGATGTTCCACTTGTGAGGTGTTCCACTAACATATAGGTGTTCAACTTGTGAGGTTTTCCACTTACACATATGTGTTCCACTTGTGAGGTGTTCCACTTACATAGGATTCCAGTTTCTACTGTGCTTATCAAGGTGCTTTTAGCTTTTTTGACAATATAATTGAACATCTGTTTGACATACCGTTGTGAACATGTACCGCCATGAAACCCGTGTTTCCATGACAACCAGTAGAGTAACAGTAAAAAGGAGGCAATTGAGGCTATTGGTTTAATGATAACAAACTTTTGTGGAAACAACTTCCATTAATAAATTGAAAGGTTTTATCTATTTTCTGAATCAGAAGAAAGGAGGAAAGAAAGAAAATTCATGATTAATTGAATTGATTAACAGGATTGTGGCATTTTATTTAAATTATTCAGTTATATAATATTCTTGATTTCAGAAAAGCAGCTTACAAGAAACTTACTGAAGATCCTAGAAGTGGTCAGTTGTATATTGAATGACAGTCAGTTGAATACAAATCCAACCAACCAATCAAATCAAGGAACTCCTCATTCAAATAAACTTGAAAACACAGACGGTAGAAATAAGAAATCAACGGAAATCTCTAATTTGTCAACGACCTCTGACAGTACCTCAAATACGCATAAACTAGAAAACGGCTCAAATCCATCAAAAGCTACTGACTCGCCAATCTCAAATACTGAAGCTTGTAAAAGTAGTCCCTTATCAAAAAGAAATACGCCTGGATCTAGTGGAGTTACGCCAACTTCGGATGCTGGGTCTAGCCAAGGATTCTCAGAATGTTCTACACTGTTATATAATACAGTCCAAGGTTTCCTGGTGGATATTCTGCAGTCCATACCACAGGTAGGTAGTATAAAATGTAAATACAACAATACAAATACATGTATATTTGATTTAGATTGATTAAGGCATGATTGACAAACAAATATTGATAGATATCAATTTTGATAAAGAAATTTTTAAATTTACAAAGATCCCCAGTTTATTATATAACAGTATTTTTTTTTTCAGGCTTCACAAGATCATACCCCAGACTTCCTAGATTACATGAACAGGTACTGTCCCAGTGAGAGACTACAATGCCTGTTGACGACCTTAAAACACATGGAGAACCGAGATCTTATCCAGACCTTATTACAACACTCACGGAATTATCAGTGTGAACATTTTACAAAAGGATTAGAAGACTTTATTAAAAGCACAAATTCATGATGAGGTCTTGGAAATTTCTAGAGGGATTTTTTATAAATAAACCAAATCATTGAAGAGGTTAGCAGCTAGATTTACAAAAATAATCAGAATCTTTTTTTGGTCATATCTTTCTTGTCATTGGTTTTCCCAAAGTAATTTCCTCAAGGTCAAGGTCAGTATTTCAATACACACCCACAGATGCAGTAATTATAGGGGAAGGGGTGAGCTTGTTAAATTTTGAAAGCTCACGTCAGTTTATAAAGGAAACAGCTTTTGATTTAAAAAAGTCAATTAATGTTCAAGTATTTAATTTAGAAAGGAGAGAGGAATTATGATTTGGATATTGTCTCAAAAATGTTAGCATGTTAATATTAGGATGTTTTAACATGTTGCATATTCAATATAATGTTATTGTAGCATGAAAAGAGCACATGCTACATAAATGGATGAATAGATGGCAGTACTGTACATACTGTACATTACATATAGTATTTTTTTATAGAGAAACTGACAAAAGTTACTTAATTTTCCAATTTAGCAAATATATTGAATTGGTTCGAATTTATAGAACTCGATTGGCGTGCACGTACATGTAGATGATCTTGGTGACTCGCAGATTGTGGTATGCAAGACTTTTTAGACTGCCACTAATGCGATCATGCCCGTAGCCAGCTTTTACCAGGAGGGGGAGCTTTTTTACAATTTTGGCTAAAAATTATGCAAAAAATTCTCAGAATGGTGAAAAACTGCATGATTTTGAAAGAATTTCTGGCCAGGGGGAGCTACGGGCTATACTGTTCTGACCTCCAAAACTTGGTTCCTTCCACCCAAACCTTGGTTCTCAAAATCCAAATATTGATTCTTCATTCCCAAATCACAATTTCTTCTCTCCTGAACATATTTCTCTGTGTTGTGAAAGTTTTGGTTTGGGTGGAAGGAACATAGTTTGTGAGGTCATAACTGATGCTGTGTTAGTAGAAGTCTAGGAGGTACAAGCCGAGGAAGATTAACCCCCCCCCCCACTGTATATATCTAATGTAAAAAAATAGTCTTTTTTCTACATAATACATATTGAGTGGGAGGGGGATGAACTCTTGTTCCCTTGTCTGTGCTAGGAGGCCTGGGTATAAAGCCTTACTACTGTGAGTTTTTGTAGTTTTGAAAATTGTGTCAATTGGGATTGGGTCAACATTAAAGGGATAATAACCTCAAGTAAAATTGGAAATTGAAAATTGAATAGGCCCTGCAAGAAATAACTTTGAATTCCAAAGTTTTTCAAGTGAAAAGTTGCACACAGGATTCAAATATGCAAATCTGTATAGTGACTAAGGACTACTAAAATTAGTCATGTCCCTAGTGTCAACTTATGAGAAGTCTGTACATTAAATATACAGATTTTATTATAATTGTTTGTAATTTTTTATTAGTATTTTTTGTAATGCAATTTTCAATAAAATATAACAAACAAACAAATTTTTTTTCCTTTCCTTTTTTTCCTTTCCTTTAATTTGGCTTCATTTAATAATTACTTTTTATTCAATACAGTGTATCAATTCATTTGTGGACTAAGATTGTAATAAGGCCATTGAAAGTTAAATACAAAATAAACATCACCTAAGCTTGGACTCTTTACTGGATGTTAAACGTATCACCAGAAAATTAACTTTGAATGGTCTTATTTAGGATGTTCAAGAACCCAGTACATCAGGTGAAGTAATGTTATAGGGGTTGACATTTTAATACTACTTGGCTAATCATCTTGATACGTAATACAAATGTTCCTGAAACATGAATGAGTTAATATCTTAAAATAAATCTACTTTTTGATTGGTTCATTTCATACTTACTATGGTAACCCGATGTGACGTCATCTGGGGCAAACTAAATTTTGTGAAAGTATGAAACTTTTCTCGAGTTGATAAACCTAAATTTATATCGATAATCTTTCAATATATTTTTTTTATTATGTCACACACCACAAGTGGTGACAAATTATTGTAGTCTCCAACTTTTTGTGGATGGTAGTTGGTGGATGATGGTCGCTGTCTGGCATCTGTAACAAATGGCACGTGGTGACATTTTGCTTGTTAATGGCTTGGCAATACCTGGAGAACCCTTTGGAATACAAATTGAAAAATAACACAATAATATAAATTATGGAACAATATTTATTGTTAATTAATAAATAATTTCATGCATATTCAATTTGCTGGTTTACACAGCAGAATTCTCTTCAATTCTCTTCTAAATGTTTTCCCAAAGAGGAAATAAAATATAAAATTACAGGATGAATTACAAACAGTCAAAAAGTTTGCTACTATAATTGTTAAGTATTTTAGATGATTTGGAATGTAAATGGAATTTGAGCCAAAATGGCCAATGTATACAAGTGTTAAAGCTATGAGATACGAAAGAGAGTACAACATGAATACAGATACAATAGCTATCATTGTTAAAGTTTGTTTCCTGTCCTCTGCTGCAGCTTCACTCAATTGTTGAACATTCTGCCTTGATTGTCTGACAGACTGGATCAGTTTATAGTTTAGTACTGAAATTGTGATCAGTGGCCCAGCGTAAATCAAGATGATGTTAAAAATGTCATGTGTTGGTATATCGGAGTACGTGTAAGTGAACGAAAATCCAAATTTTGTACTGACAAATATAATGGATGAAATTGTCAAAAGTCCCACTGCTATTCTCATACGTTTAATGGTAGCAATCCTTGTAGCTTCAAGTGGTTTTGCAATGTGAATATATCGGTCAACTGTTACCAAGACAACCATCCATATTGACAGTGTCCAAGTGGTGTCGGTAAACAAATATTTAGCTCTGTGGTAATTGATGCTCACACTGAGATTCAAGTCAAAAGCAAAGTTTAAATGCACTGGCAATCTAAATATAGTATAACAAGTCAAATATAGTAAGTCTGTCACTGCTAGTGCTTTAAGCAAAAATACACGTGTGCTTTTTGTTGTGTCTTTTGATAGAACTATCAGTGCTAAAATGTTTCCAATCAATCCAAATAAAGTCGCAATTATTTGTAGTGTGTATATCACAATGTGAAAGTACCAAGAGCGTGTCACATAGTCAATGTATTCTAGGTAATATGGTAGCTGGCTCTCGTTTGCTTTGATACTGTTGTTCAGATGAGTATCATTGTAGTCCAGTAGCCCTGTAGAGTTCAAATGTACATTGTTCAGACTTGCATTGCTGAAGCTTGCATTAGTCAGACTTGCATTGTCCAGACTTGCTTTATATTGATACATACTCACACGTGACACTCATTATAATGTTCCTTTGATATTTTGTATTGTCCAAGTCACCATGGTAACCATGACATCTCATTTCAACTCAGCCCTGAGTTTCAGGTGAAACAGAAAGATGCTATGAGTATCGGAATGGTCCAAGTTATCATTTTCTGTTCCAACTTCAATGTTACAAGCATTCAACTCCATCTGACAACTGAGCGTTCAAATCATTTCTTTGTTGTTTGGTTTTACAGATTAATAATAATGATAATATCCCAGAATGGCTTGCCTTTTATACACAATTCAATTTATTTATTTTTTGACACCTAAAGTATTTGTTATTTTTGTAAATGGGAGCGCCTGTGTTATTATCTTCTGCTGAATATGTTTAAATTGTGAATGTATCATGCATAAGTGATGTCAAAACTTTAAAATACAAATCCATGAAGCATGCAGATGATGTCATATTGGGGTCCCTTTTTGATTTCAGTTCGATTAATGGATCTACATTCCACACATTTTTCAATATCTTTACTAATTTTCAATTTTTTACGCAATTTTTCAAACACAAATGATATTGTTCTAAGGGCTTTCATAGAGATAAGAGAATCATTTAGATAATGAGAAAGAGTTGTTATTTTGCGAACAATTTCCATCATTAAAACAAAACAATATATCGTAATTACATGGATGTAGTTCAATTGGGTATTTGTTAATTCAGTTGCTGTGTTTACTTAGCATTTAAAACGATCTGACACATTAGTGCTCATTTTCAAAATGTATTGTCAACATGCCTAAACGTTTGTAAATAAGCTGCAATTATATTCTAATAGATCTCCTCAGCAGGCAGACATCGAGTTGTCATCAAGTGGAGAGGAATATCATGTGATAGCTCCATAAATGGCATATAAGACCATATAAGGAATGATCATTAATATTAAATACACAGTTAAATGCTAGTAACTCAATAAGAACAAGATGAGAACTAAATTAGTACTCCTAACACACATTCCAAATTCTGATGTCATGTGATATAAAACACATCTTTGGTCACCCTGTAATACGAGGTGATCATAAAGTTCTTATAATATCTCTCTAATTTCTTTATTTTTCGATATATTCTAATGAAATTATTACAGAATGTGCAGCAAAGAACGTTGTATTAATCCAGCAAACAATACCGCATACTAGTATGCATTATTCCAACAAGTGACATTTTGTTGTTTCCCTATAATTACTTAAATTTTGCAATTCAATTTACTAATTCACTTGACACCCGGACTTGACACCTGACACCACTAGGTGAATCACTAGTGGTTTCTGTTAATGAAGGTGTCAAAGGTAAATGTTACAAATACAATGTAACAATATTGTTATTAAAATAAATACCATGGTGACAACTCTGGGTTTCTTCTAATGAGAATGTTTGCAATTTGTTGTCCATTGTAGTTGTCTGAATTTTTTCAGAATATATCTATTGCAAGTTTCTTTTCTTACTGCTATTGGTGTTTAGAAATATACATTTGTGTCTTTCCATGTTTAGGCGTAAACCATGATACCATGGCATACCGTTGTCAATCATCATCGACTATGAAAAAATTATGATCAACTCTGACCATGGTGGCAAAGATAACTTTTGTCCGATTTTGACAATGGAATTTGCATGATTGAAGATATTTCATAGTCAAAGTTAACTATCAAATACCATTCATTGCCAACAACTGTTATTTACCATGTTATACAATGGTATTTCATTGTTGATGGCATTTCATGGTCTTTGATCATCAAATAGCCTAAAAGAAATGATTTGCCCGGTGATGTCACATCGGATTACCATAGTTACTAAAAAATCAACCTATCAAACAGTAAATCTTTTTATCCCATAGTTGAGGTCAAATCTGTAGAATAATAGTTAATATTTATGATATTTTGCAAATGCATGGAAAAAAGCTATATCTGTGGAATACGGAGAATATTCAACAGATATCACTTTTTTCCACGGATTTGAAAACTCCTGCCAATATGATGTGCATTGTTACATGGTTACATGTTTTATCCTTACATGGTGATTTCATGACGTCACAGATATGGAAATGATTGATGTTTTGGCTATAGTTCAAATGACAAGATATAACTGAATGTTGTTTTCATTACATGTAAATTGCTTTATAAGGTTGACTATATGGGATGATTTGACCTCAACTATCTCACTATGGGATAAATAAAACATCCTATACATATTTCGGGAATACACTCAATAATGTGTGGGGAACATCTTTACCAAGTTTCACAAAGATCAGTTCAGTATAGGGTGTCCCGAAAGTATGCCCCCCTCCCCTAGGCAGACATACACCAATGTCCCCATAGTATGTGTCATATATCAAAGCTACCTTTATATTAAAGCTCATCCAAAGTTACATTGATTTGCCAAGTATCATCGTTCAACTTACAAATGGGAAAAAGTTATTGGGAGAGCCCATACTTTCGGGACACCCTGTACTATTGAAATGGCAACATCTTTGACATTACTTATGGATCACCCAGTATCTGCATGGGTAAGAATGTAGTCAAATAAATTGAATTAATCTTATATCATGGATTACATCACGCGCACCAAAGACTAATATGATAGGTCAAAGTGCAGAGATGAGGAAGTAGAGGTCAGAAGTAAAAGTGCGGGCAAATATTGAGATAACATTGCATCACATGTAAATTGATAATGGACATTGTCCAGTTTATTTCTATTATTTCTGTGACTTCATTATCATGATCATATTTAGGGGGGGGGGGGTTTGGTGTACATTGATAACATTATATTCACATGAAAATTGATAATGGACATTGTCCTATTTATTTCTATTATTTCTGTTACTACATTATCATGATCATATTTAGGGGGGGGGGGGGGTTCGGGGTACATTGATAACATTGAATTCACATGTAAATTATTAATGGACATTGTCTGGTTTATTTCTATTTCATTTTCATGACAAATTTTTCAAATGATCATGAACCTTTATTCAGGCCAATGTCCACTCAGTTAAGCTTTACTATAGTCCAGCTCATTAATCTTGATTCACAGAATTTACAACCTCTTTACACTCAGATGAGAATCTAACATGTGGTACATTCTTCTTTCTATCTTTCACTACTTAAAACATACATGTATAGTCTTTATAGAAACACTTCATTTTTTATTCAGAATAAATACATTATTCACCTACTACCTCTCCAGTGGTCTGAATTTGGTGTAGTTGTAACTTACGAGTCTTACAAAACAAGCGTCCATTTTTAGATGATGAATGACACGTGACAAATTATAATTTGCGATTGTTCCAAAAATGGACATTTAGTTTCCCTCATTTCAGTTATCCAATGTAAGATACACATAATCAAACAAAAGTGTCCAATCATTTTGTTTCATGCAACCTTATTTGGTCAGGTAAATAACTCCCACTACCTTATATGGTATGATTATATCTAATAAATAATAAGCACATTGTACAATGCAAGTTTTGATTTACCCTTTAATCTCTTTAATATCTAGAATATTGAAGCATACTTGATTTACTGAGCTCTGAAAATACTGAATTATGCTTACAAATTGTTTAAAAATCATATTCATTATTACCCTATGGTACATAACACTTGGAGTGAAATCTGAAGTCACCAATTTCGCCCAACAGCGTACTTTGTATTTTTGTAGCATATGGCACTCAATATGGCTTAAATAAAAAGCTAGCCAAAGATAATGAAATGATATCCCCTGACATATAAAATTTCCTCGATTCTAATACATTTAATGTACTCAAACAATTTGGCAAATGTCACACATATGCAGTGAAATATGACATCGTACGGACCAGATGCAATGACGTTTCCTATATTTGAAGACAATGTCAACTATCTTGCGTAAAGTCTCTGAGATCCTCACAAAATCCGTCCTTCTCCCCTTTTAATAACTGATACATGTGCATATATTAAGAGGGATTACACAAAGGCTCCATACAAGACTTAGCATAGTTTATGGCCTAGTCACATAGCCCGGCCGATGAGGTTCCGATGAGCCAGCGATGCAATTTTCACCGAACTCGGCCGAACACCGGCCGGACATCCGTGGCGTTTGTTGCTTAAAACCGCATCGGTGGCAGCTCGGTGAAATTTTAACTTCGGAGTTAAATTTCACCGGGCTCTCACCGAGCTCCCTCATCGCAGCCCCATAGTAACCACATCTGAACACACGTCGGCCGGTGCACGGCCGAGTATCGGTCGGTGTCCCGTGCATCTGAGACAACCAGAGGACGAGGTTTTTTAACGGACACCGGCCGAGCTCCGACCGAGCTCCGGCCGATGTGGGACAGAGCCTTGGAAAGTATAGTACCTGAAGATGTCCGGACGGCGTCCGTTCACGTCACCGAGCTCTGCTTCCGATGAGGAGAGCTCGGTGGCACCAAAAAAATCCACCGAGCTCTACTGATGCCGGACATCGGCCGGGCTATGTGACTAGGCCATTAGGTGCATTAATGCACCTCTGGGCCTCTATTTAAATATCTGAGATTGATCACAGGCCCAGAAGCGCCTTTCATGCCATGTTAATATTCCAATCAGGCAGCCTCGTCTAAACATAGTTTTGCTTTAAGTTTTCACCTGTTGTGGCCAATGATCCTAATAGCTCATGGCCTGGTCTTGTATAACGTCTCAGAGATCCCAGAGTTATCCCCTTTCTTCGTACAGTTGTATACATATCACAGTTTTGCTTAGTTCCCATCTGCTGTGGCCTCCGTGGCTTGTTGCGCCTTCATATATGCGTTGTATTTCTTTTCCTGAGCCTCATATAGTTTGGTAAGCTTCTTCAGAGCAGATTTCCCTAGTTCTTTGCCTTCTTTGTCGTGTGTGGGCATACCCTGAAATAATAAGGCAAGTTATTGAGTCAAAATGTCACCACCTAGTTGCTCAAATCTGGAATCTAAAGTCAGATGTTAAGTTCTGAGAACTCGTAGATGATTTTTTTTTTAAAAATTGGTCAATTTGAAGCAAGTTGCAAGTTTTTGACCTTCAGAAGGTCATTGAAGGTCAAATCTCAAATTTAAAGTCAGATTTGAAGTTCTGTAATAATAAGAAATTATCGTATACATCTGTAAAGCCACGCTTTGATTATCAATGTCGTCTCTGCAAGTGTGTACTATGAGTCTCTAAATGAATTGTACCAGCAGGCCCGTAGCCAGGGGGGTTGTTTGATGGGTTCCAGCAACCCCCCCCCCATGGTCAAAAAATCTTTCAAAATCATGATGTTTTTCATACTGGCTATGGGCCTGACCAGTATTACTTACAATTGAATTTGCAATCTTTGGTACAAAAAAGCATAATTTTACTCATTATGCTTCAAAGTCAACTTTGCCACAACTACTTCCCTTTTTATTTTTACTGCTGCAGTGACAAATTTGGAAGAGAGCTTGGATGTGAGTTTATTTAGGCAGCTCAGTTACAAGCTTGACAATTCTCATTGTTTTTTTGGCTTGTAAGGGACTGTATAGATATTTATAATATCTACCAACTGGATAATCCAAATTGATGATTCCTCCCTATTAGTTTATAATTACATTATAGGAAATCACTTTACCTTTTCATCAAATTTAGAATACTTTTCCGTCTCCTTTAAGAAGAGCTCTCCTGGTGGTATCTTATTCAATGCATCTTTGGCAGCCTGTAAAAAAACTGAATATGAATTTGCTTCAAAAAATTGCATCTTGCAAAGACTGAGTATCTTTGAGGTCTACAGTGTCTCTGTTATTATTTAAAGGGCTACTGTGAATTATTATTATCTTAAAGGGCCACTGTGTCTATTTAATCTAAAAGGAACACTTTCTCTATTACATGTATTATTAGACAAATAATAATGGAAAAGGGCACAACATTACATTTTTTTTCTAAATATGGATTTTCTGAAAATACCTCTAAATAATTGTACGATACTGACACCAAATGTCCAAGAAAGTTAGGATTATAGAAAATATTTACTGGACATATATATATACTCGGAGTAACTTCAATCAAAGGATATGCAAAGGACAGTGATGTTAATTGATATTTTCAGGGACGTAGTCCCATTTTTCCCAATTCCCTCATATTCAATCGTCACAGCAAATAACACAACTAATCCCTAAAGAACCATAATTCTAAATGTTAATGCACAGAATCTTGTAAAATGTGTAGCTTAATCTCCCTCATATGCCTCTGTTTCAATCATCTAAGGCCCATACCTGTTGCTTTAGTTTCTCCTGTTTTTTCCTTTCCTTTTCAAGCCTTTTTTGTTCCTCAAGCTAAAACAAACAATTACAGTTTAACATGATGCCAAAGTTTAACATGGTGCAGAAGTTTAACATGGTGCATTGGCCTTACATGTTGAAATCAGATTTTCAAGTGTTCAACTCATTTTGTGTTTCGTATTTTTCCATATTAGACAGCTGAGTAAGTCAACCGACATATTTCATATTTTATACACTACAGGGTGAGCTTAAAATATGGACTCTTTGCAAACTGTATGAGATAAAGATACAATATCCATCAATAATTTGGAATATACATGTACAAGATAAAAAGCAAAAATTACCAACAATTTTATAACACCATTTGTTACAGACACTAACTACCAACCGCCGTCACCATAACACTTTTTGGTGGTGACATAAAAATCATAGAAAACAACCACAGAACTTTTGAGTAAAAACACCTCTTAAACACAACAAATATAACCCAAACCTTACCTTAATCTTTTCTTCCCTCTCTTTAAGAAGAGTGTCTCTGTCGACTAGTTTAATAACGGAAGGTTGGCCCTCGTGGTCCTCCAGTCTCACGCCAAGATTTGGTAATGTGTCGTCACGCACTACATCACATAACTTCAGAATCTCAGCAGCTGCAATGTAGATAAAAATAAGCAATAGATAAGATCCAAAACAAGGCATAAACATGCAAAACATCACCACCTACCATTTGTTACAGACACCCAGCTGCAGTTACCGACCACCGGACGCCGAACACCATCCACAAAAAAGCATAACAATATGTCACCACTTGTGGTGGTGGCATAACAATATGTCACAACTTGTGGTGGTGGCATAACAAACCATTTTGAATGTGTAGAAATGAATAAACATTCTTTCCACTTACTAACCTCCAGGCATGCAATAATCCATTTTTAATATGAACTGTTTTTAGCAATGCTGTAAAATACGCAATGTTCTCTGACACATGGTTGCATATAGAGTATGAAAGTATAAGGGTATTAACATTGTTTTTCCAATTTTCCTTTAAATGTATATACAATGTAATGGCAGCACTAGCATTTATGTAATATCTGTAAATTTTATGTATTATCTTTTTTTCTTTTCAGCATGCTGACACTGATATCACCAGATGTAAGAGAAGCATGTAAGTTTAAGTCCCTGCTTAAATTAATCTTAACTTAGCCAGTAATATGATGCTATTTTAAAATATTTGACTTAATATTTCATGCAAAATAAAGACAAGGCATCACTTACTTGGTTCGAAAAGTGTGACAATTGTTACAGACACTGACCATCGATGTCAAATGCCTTACCACATACGAACATGACTATTTTTGGTGATGACTAAAATCAGTTTTTACTTATTGGTACCTGTTATGAAGCAAGTTTCAATTGCTTCGTTGAGAAGTATTTTGACAAAAGGCTTCGTAATGAACAATTTTGTACCCATGTTACACCACATGATTCCTTCAGCATGAAGTTATGGCAAGATTAAAACATTTAAAGGGACAACAAAGAGTATGGCATAAGTCGCTTCAATATTCTGTGATTTTCGACAAAGATTTGTAATGCAGCAATTAAATCAAAAATTCTCACCCTTTTGCTCTCTGGCCACTTTACGAACATCTTCCCTGAATGTGGCAAATGACTGGAGGTATGGCATAACTGTCTCTTCAATATTCTGTGATTTGGCCCCTCCTTGCGGAAATCCAATTGGTTCATCCACTTGTATTGCACCAAATACCTACAAGGCAAGATTAAAACAATTAAAGGGACAAAAAAGACTATGGCATAACAGTTTCTTCAAAATTCTGTGATTTGGCCCCTCCTTGTGGAAATCCAATTGGTTCATCCCCTTGTATTGCACCAAATACCTACAAGGCAAGATTAAAACAATTAAAGGGACAAAAAAGACTATGGCATAACAGTTTCTTCAAAATTCTGTGATTTGGCCCCTCCTTGTGGAAATCCAATTGGTTCATCCCCTTGTATTGCACCAAATACCTACAAGGCAAGATTTTTTTTATCAAGAGATTTTATAACCATTAATCATTAAAAGTACATATCATACATGAGGGACCCAATCGCCAGTGGCATTATAGGTGTCCCTCAATGTAGTAATTGCAATTTGTAAACATGGTTTATACACAATTATATAGGCTATTAGAAGAAAAATAAAAAAGAAAACATCTGCATTTTAATTGGAGTGTGGGGGGCTGCTGTCTCTGCCTATAGGGTCCTGGAAACAACTCATACAAGGCAAGATTAAAACAATTAAAGGGACAAAAAAGACTATGGCAAAACAGTTTCTTCAAAATTCTGTGATTTGGCCCCTCCTTGTGGAAATCCTATTGGTTCATCCCCTTGTATTACACCAAATACCTACAAGACAAGATTAAAACATTTAAAGGGAGAACAAAGACTATGGCATAACTGTCTCTTCAATATTCTGTGTTTTGGCCCCTCCTTGTGGAAATCCTTTTTTAGATTTTTCTTGTCATATGATTTTCTTATCGCAATTAAAAAGTGCTTCAATGTTGTGCTGAGCTGACAGACATGTGGGGTCAACAATAAATCGCCACCAAAATAGCGTGCAATCTCTTTACTGTATTCAAAATTGCTATTAGAACATTAGTATTTTTGGGCATTTACGTGCTTGACAGGAGAGAATAAAATATCGCCAAGTAATTTACCCAGCATGCCCAAAGCCTAATCAGATCCTAGATCTTGTTTTCTCCTGCATCTGTAAAAGTTTGGAAGTTGAACAGGTAATGTTATGCAGTTTTTCTAGATTTGATGACACGATTTGAGTGGTGCATACCACTGGCGGATCTGTGGGGGGGGGGCACTTATCCACCAGCACAAGATGATGACAATATGCATGTATTACTTAGAAAATTGTAGTAATGATATATAGACTCAGCTTAAAAGGCAGCCTAATATTTGGACCCTATATAGTCCAACTTTGAAGCCCTATAAGCGAGTAGAATTATGAATGGGAGGGTTCACAGAGGGTGCTAGTGAATGAATTATACAAAGTTCAATAGTCGGCCCAAAATAGGAAAGGCAGACAAAGGAAAGTACCAACTATTTACCTTCAATATCCTTGTAATATAGATGGCGATGTTTTTCAGAAGTATGCCGTTGGGTGATATCTTGGCCGCTCGTTGTGACGCTATGTAGCTGTTACTTGAGGTGGTAAGGTCACGCAGACAGTCCATTGCACTTCTTGTATCAATAGAATCTGAAACCACAGGAGTAAAATACATATTTATTTATCATTTGTAACTTAAAATTGTTAAAGGCCCCATGTGAAGTTAGAAAATATTTTTATTTTATTTATATTTATTTTTGTGATTTAAAAAGTTGTTTAAGACATAAAATCGGCCTTTTGTTTTTCAAATGTTTCAGTGTTTTTTGTAACTATTTTATTTTTTATTTTTTATTTATCATGTTTTATTTAATACAATAATATATGTTAAAAGGAAATTTCCAAAAAGGCGACTTGGTTTAACATTATAAGTCGCAGGGTTAATTAACAAAATTTATTAAAAAAACAATCCATTTGGTGAAGCAAATTGGTGAATAAATTAAGCATAGAAGGTTTGATAATTGCTGCTAACACTCAGACACTTACACACTTCTGGAGAAAAGAGGCACTAGTTTCAAGAAGTTATGTTTGTAGCGTAGTTAAATTTTGAGCTGCCAAAAAGAAAGAAATTCAATTTCTCTTGTTGGGTCTTAAAATTCTTTTTATATTGGATTTCAAGGTTATTTAGTTTAATTTCGAAGTCAGTTAGGAGGGTCCTACGGAGTCTGCAGTTAAAGACGACATGCTTGGATGTTTCACTTTTGAATCCACACTTACATTTTGGTGTATCAGCTAGAGTAAAGTTGTGGGCATGAAAATGAGATTGAAAAATCAAGTCGACTCGTCCTATTAAGACTGATTTCCTCTGGTCTAGGTAAATGCAATGAGGTAGATGATACGATAGGTTCTGGATAAATGAGAAGTGTCAATTTAGATTTGAAAGTACTTAAGTTGTCTATCTCTTGGAGTTTTTGGGGTAGTTTATTCCATTCTGAGATAGCTGTAAAAATGCATGTTTTCTTTAATATCACAGATCTTTTAGCGGGCAAGAGGAATTCAGTTGGATTTCTCAAATAGAGAGGAGGTTGTTGTCTCTTATATTTATCAAATATGTTTTGAACATATGAAGGAACTTTCTGATTTTGGACATTGAACATGAGGGTTAGTTTATGAAACTTCCTCCTCGTCTCTAGTTTAGGCCAATTTAGAATATTGAGCACCTTTTCAGAAGATGACCCATGAATAGTTCCACTACAAATCAGAGCTGCCTTGTAGTAACTATTTGTAAGGTAACTAGTCAAATAAGTAATTCTGTAAAAAACACTATTATTTTTTTTCTCTAAATACCAATAGAATGATGAAGTCTTATGTCTAAATGGTATAATTTAATTTTTCACACACTCTTTAATTTTATATCACTTTTACACTTTCCCGATGTCATGCTGAAACATTGTGACATTACAATTTTTAAATTATTTATCAGTTATTTCTTTGTTGTCATAAACCTCATGAAAGTATGATAAACTTTAAAATATTTTTAGTATATCTAGGTCAAGTCATAAGTTTTTAAGTTAAATACATTTATGTGTAACATTTTGTAACATTAGGTTTTCAATGGGTCAAATTTGTTAAAACTACATAGGCCTTTTACATTATTTCTATTATCTGACCTGATGATTGAAACTGTCAAATATTATCTTTAAATCTAATGATTACTTATCATTGTTCCGATGAATTCATGGGAGCATCAAGTTTTCAAAATGCATTTGTAAATACTAAAAATCAGTTTCTTACAAAGCAAGTGAATTCAGATATTTTACAATTCTAAGAACAAATATTCAATGGTTTAAAAATGGATTGCCTTTGCCCTGATATTCATGTTTCAAACATACATTCCTATGCACTTTTATTATTTTTTACAATGGTCCTTTATATTATTTTATTATCATTAGTGAAAGTTTTCCATATCGTGCAATTGACCTTGGGATTTCTTCACACAAGTAAGAATTATGAACTTAACTACTTGTATTATGCAACTCTCAGACATAAATTGATGCCAAACACTTGGATAAGCTTTCTCACGACTTTAAAAATGTTGATCTTTCAAAATTCAATTTCACAAAAGTGGTAATAGTAAATACATACAGCCACCGACACCTGGACCATTCAACGTGAATAATAAACATTTGTCCACTAATGTTAAGTTCAGATTATCTTGCAAGCAGAACAAATATTAGAATATCGCATTACTCGACATCTTTTATTCTGCTTTAGAATGATCACAGACTCCTAAGTAAGTGTTACAGATTACATATTTGAACGTAAATATAACTTAGCCATGTCTTTTGTGTAATTGCAGGCCCAATATTGATACTATTAGTTAAGAAGATAAGATTTCCTCTGGAGCCATTAGATACGTGCAATTTTACATGCTACTTAATTTTAATGAATATTTTGTATTTTTTCTAATTTTATGAATACATAGTATAAGAAACAGTTTCGCAAATAGGCATACCACATTAAAATGATAGATATTCCATGGTATACCAATAGCATAAAAAAACACAATGTTTGGTGTCTAAAAGAAAATAATTAAAACTGCATGAATACACACATTATAAAAAAAGATTAGTAAATATACAATCCATAGAACTAATAAAATAAAACTTATTCTAATGGACGGGTAGGCATAAAAACAAAATATTTGATGTAGATATAATTAAATAAAGATAATGACTAGACAACAAGACTGCAAGCAATCCTACAGAGGATGAGGCTCCGTAGGTGTTTGAGGCTCAAATGCCTCCGTTTGAGGCTCCATAGGTGTTTTTGACAATTTGAATATCAGCCAAAAGTCCAATCTCAAATCTTAAGGTCATATATATTATGAACCCAAGGCAACTTGTAGATGATGTTTCAAAAAAGATTTGTTCAATTCGAAGCAAGTCAAAATTTGACCTAATAACTGAGGGTGTGAAAGACTATTATTAAGCACAAGTATTCAGAATTCAGATTCCTTTGCATTGGCAATATGTTCATCAAATATTTGTTTAACTTAAGTACCCTTTTCAAGGCATGGATTTTTCTCAACTCTTTTATCATAGCTAGTTCGTCGATCAGCTTATATTCAATAAGAGTATGTGTATTTACATGTACATTTTCTACCAACAAGAAACTGGCATTCATTTAAAGGTTCAACAAATACTGCAGGGGGGGGACAATCTTAAAAATCTATAAGTGGGAATCCCTTTATAGAAGCTTTGAACTGAATTTACACTTCTTAATGCTGAAATTGAGCGTTTATCCATACATTTTAAGAAAATAGGTATGTCAAAGAAGATGTTAAGCCAAATATTGACCTGATAGCTTAGAAAAAAGAAAAAAATTCGAATTTTCTCTCTACAGTCCTTGTTGCCCCTTTAATTTCACAATTTCACCATAATGAACATCATGATCCATCTAAGTATTTCATATGACTGAAGGAATACACTAATTTATCAGGATGCATCTTGAATGGGATTATTCATTCTGATTCAAACATAATGAAAAAATTGAAGAAAACATTGTTCAAAGAAGGATGTCGATGAAAACAAACCAATTTGCTGTCATTCTCGCGCCAGAAAAATTCACTTATCAAACAGCGCCCTAGATGCAGATGCAACATCACAAGACAATGCAGATTCCAGGACGGTCGCTCGTCGATTGAGAATTATAGAACTGCAATGCTGCAATCTCATTGGATGAGAGACTCTTAAAGAGCATACTGATTGAATTTACATTTTCTGAAAGCAATGCTTGACGATGCATCAAAACAGTAAAATCCTCTGTACAGTATTACTTAGAGGGTAGAGTGGATAGCTGCTGGAGATAAAGGGTAATAGTCAAATCTGCAGAACTGAAAAGGCGCTTGAGATCACATCACCATTTAGCACAGGACACTAAATCAACATAAAAAACAAACATTCTCACACTTAAATTGGTTACCTTGAAATAACTGTTGCTTCACTGGTTTAAAGCGAGGGTGTGTGAGGAAGCAATATTAATATACATTTCCTGAGATTCAAAAACTTGGAAACCATATTGAAATAAAGATGGAAAATGAAAACTATGATGCAGCCATATGGAATGGGATTCTGTTTGGAGGGGTAACCATAGCGATCATCATCTGCAGAATCCTGTACAATCACATCACGTCAAGGCTTCCACCTACATTGCCATGGTTACCGAAAGTTGGAAGCATACCATTTATCAATACGGAGAACCGTTTAGAGATGTTGGTGAATTTGAAGCAAAAGTATGGTGATGCGTGTATGATGTACCTAGGAACAAGGCCTGTGGTAATGCTAAATAGCTACCAAGCCATCCAAGAAATCCTGGTTCGAAAAGGAAACCACTTCAATCATCGTCCATATCTGCTGGGCTTAAATGAGCTTTTAAACAGCAAAGGTTAGTGTTTTTACATATAACATGGGACAAAATTTGATGAGAATGGCTCGACTTTCAAAAGGAAACTTCAATGATTTAAAATGCCAACAGGTGACGTATGATGTCATTCTTTATTACCACCCAAGTTGAAGTTCAGTCAAAATATTTAAAGGGAAATTGGAAAACCTGGAAAATCAATTGATAATGATCTGTTGCGTCCAACGGAAGGAGGGCACAAAGTCCTTTTGATTTTACTTCAATAGCATGAAATACCTAATTTATCAACAATAATCATCAATTCGACTTTTCCAGATCAAGATTCATTTATCACATCATCCGGATCAACCAATGAGAAAATGCACAGATTCACAGATGATGCCCTGGAGGTGCAACTCCACCCTACCACAGGTACATTCCAAAGCAATCTCCAAGAAGAGCTGAAAGTGTTATTCAAGGAGATAGATGCATTGAAAGGGAAGGCTGTGGACTATGAGGAGCTGCTACTGACTTGCTGTTCGAATGTGATGAATCGGGTCCTTATTGGGAAGAGACTGGAGGTATCAAGTACAGCCTTCCAGCAACAGTTACAAGGTACGACAGTTAAACCTGCTAAGTGGAACACCTCTGTAGGTAGAACACTATGAAGTGGGATAATTTTCTACCTCTGTAGGTAGAATCCTTTTAGTGGGATAATTTTCTACCTCTGTAGGTACATGTAGAACACTATTAAGTGGGATAATTTTCTACCTCTGTAGGTAGAACACTATAAAGTGGGATAATTTTCTACCTCTGTAGGTAGAACACTATAAAGTGGGATAATTTTCTACCTCTGTAGGTAGAACACTATAAAGTAGGATTATATTCTACCTCAGTAGGTAGAACACTAAGAAGTGGGATAATTTTCTACCTCTGTAGGTAGAACACTATGAAGTGGGATACTATTCTATCTCAGTAGGTAGAACACTATGAAGTGGGATAATTTTCTACCTCTGTAGGTAGAACACTATGAAGTGGGATAATATTCTACCTCAGTAGGTAGAACACTATGAAGTGGGATAATTTTCTACCTCTGTAGGTAGAACACTATGAAGTGGGCTAATTTTCTACCTCTGTAGGTAGAACACTATGAAGTGGGATAATTTTCTACCTCTGTAGGTAGAACACTATAAAGTGGGATAATATTCTACCTCTGTAGGTAGAACACTATTAAGTTGGATAATTTTCTACCTCTGCAGGTAGAACACTATGAAGTGGGATAATTTTCTACCTCTGTAGGTAGAGCAATATTAAGTGGGATAATTTTCTACCTCTGTAGGTAGAAAACTATTAAGTGGGATAATATTCTACCTCTGTAGGTAGAGCAATATTAAGTAGGATAATTTTCTACCTCTGTAGGTAGAACACTATTCAGTGGGATAATATTCTACCTCTGTAGGTAGAACACTATTAAGAGGGATAATATTCTACCTCTGTAGGTAGAACACTATAAAGTGGAATATATTCTACCTCTGTACACCCCCAAAATGCAATCTGATTTTCGACGCCGTTTCGGTGCCAAATTTCGGTGCCGTCTCGGCACCAAATGGACTGACTAGTCCGGTAGCAAATTTAAGTGTCCAAAGGTTTCGGTGCCGGAACGGTGTCGAAACGGTGACGGAACAGCGCCAAAATTTTTTTTTTTTTACAATAATAATTTCATTTAGATACATATTAGGTAGTGAGGTAGCACCGAAAAATGTACCCGAAGATGTACTTGTTTCTTATGTATTTTTATGTGATACTTCAGAAAAATTTTGTCTGACGCGCCATATCCGGGGCGAAAGTTGTCAAAATTGGGTTTTTGACCCTAAAAAGGAAAATTACAGGGGGTACATTAACATCATTGAATAATTCATTCAGTTAGTCTTCAATCATCACAATGATTTTATTGAGAGTTGATGAGATCATTTTAAGGTAGTATGCAAACTTTCAATGGTCTGTCACTCGTGGTTGCCATGGAAACCACAATTTTTGCTGAGAAAATCCTTAATTTTGGTAAAACCTGTACCTGTACATAATATAGAATGTGGATTATTTTTCAAATCAACATATATCAGAACATTTTAGCACTCTAAAAATCACCAGGGCTGTCCAAACATTTGTTTAAAGAGAAATAATATTGCAATTTATATGACTGGTAAGTGTCAAAGACCATACAATTACATAAGTGGTCAAAAGTGGGCGTCGCCCTCATAATAGTAGTTGATTGCCATTCTCTATAAATACAGAGTTTTACTTGACTTTTGAGATACATTTATATTGAATTTCTTTGGTTATACTTAATATCAAGCATTTTTACATCTAAGTGTTATAGTTATTGCATGGGGATACAGGGGGAGGGGGGAGGGGGGGGTAGTAACAGAATTGGGAGGGGGCAGAGCTTATCAGCCTTAAGTGTAAATCTCATCTACATGTTTCTAGATTTCATAGGGTACAGCTTCTGGGTCTTATTATATTCATCTCAATATATAAGATATAAGAATTTACATGGTTGGTAAGTGTCAAAGACCATAGAATTACACATGTGATCAAAAGTGGGCGTCGCCCTAATCATAGTATATGGTTCATTCTCTATAAATACAGAGTTTAACTTGACTTTTGAAGTACATTTACTTAAAAACATCTTTGATTTATACTTAATGTCAAGCATTTCTGGTAAGTTATATATGTACATCTAATTGTAATAGTTATTGTCTGGGGGTGGAGGAGGGGGGGGGAGAGTAACAGAATTGGAAATGGGCAGGGCTAATAAGCCTTAAATGTAAATCTCATTTATTTAGTTCTGGATTTCAAGGGGTGCATCTTCTGGGTCTTCTTCACTTCTGGGTCTTCTTCATCTCAATATATGGGATATTCCAATTTACACGATTGGTAATAGACTGCGGACTATTCTGTAGAAGTGCTCTAGAAATGGATCTCGCTTTTCATGGAAGGTCACACATTCCAACATATTTCAAACAATTTGTATGATTATAATAGACACTTTCTGGGTAGTTGGACTTTATGTAGGGGTGGCAGAAGGCCCTCAGGCCAATTTATACCCCTACCCCAACAAAACCTTGGGGGTACTTTAATACCACCCAATAAAAATAATACTAATGCATATCAGATATTCATCGTTTTATAGTGGGTAGGGCATGCCATGGTTAGTCAGTGCCAGAAATTTCCAATCTCTGACTTATATGGTTACCATGGAAACAGTATTTATATCTCACAATCTTCTCAATTTGACCCCATCCCAAATGTGTCCTTAAGTTCTCAAAGTGAAATATTTGCAAATCTGTTTGGATTTTGTGATATTAATACTTAAGACTGACTGGCCATTGGCTTTGCCCCCTCCCATTTCTGCTACTACCCCCCTTGCCCCCCCCCCCACAGGGAATAAATATTACAATACTAAATGTAATCAAAGAAGTTTTAATTTAAAAAATAAATCTTAAAGTCAAGTTAAACTCCATGAGAATGAATTATCTACTATTGTTAGAGCAACACCCACTTTTGATCACTTATGTAATTGTATGGTCTTTGACACTCCCCAGTTATGTTAATTGCAATATCCTTTATATTTAAATAAATGTTTGAACTGCCCTTGTAATTTTGAAAATGCTAAAATGTTCTGATATCTGTTGATTTGAAAAATAATCCACATTCTATATTATGTACAGGTACATGTTTTACCAAAATTAAGGATTTTCTCAGCAAAAATTGTGGTTTCCATGGCAACCACGAGTGACAGACCATTGAAACTTTGCATACTACCTAAAAATGATCTCATCAACTCTCGATAAAATTATTATGTTGATTGAAGACCAACTGAATGAATTATTCAATGATGATAATGTACCCCCTGTAATTTTCCTTTTTAGGGTCAAAAACTCAATTTTGACAACTTTCGCCCCAGATACGGCGCATCAGACAAAAATTTTCTGAAGTATCACATAAAAATACATAAGAAACAAGTAATTTCAATTTGTTCAGAAGCGGGTACATTTTTCGGTGCTACCTCACTAACTATATACTTGTAAAACCAAAAAGTAAAACAAAATTAGATTCAAGACTAATAAAATGGCAGTTTACTAATAGTCAAAGTTTCAAACTTACATACCCATAAAATACATAATACAATATAAAACAACAGAACTAATACATATGTTATTATAATATCTGCAGCTCACAAAGACAACATCGAAGCACTTTGTAACTCAAAATGCCTGACTGTTGACCCAACTCTGCGTTTCATCCCTGGGTTCAGGGGGGCGTATGATACACTCAAGTGGGCAGCGGACACAAGACGCAATATCGGGGAAGGACTGATGAATGTGCGAGGCCAGGGAGGATGGTTGCAGCTCTGTGAGATGAATGCAAACAAACCAAAGGGAGCAGTGTGGTCTGATGATATATCTGGTAAATATTAAACAGGGGTGGGCCTGTAGTCTGGGAGAGGAATGCAAACAAACCAAAAGGAGCAGTGTGGTCTGATGATATATCTGGTAAATATTAAACAGGGGTGGGCCTGTAGTCTGGGAGAGGAATGCAAACAAACCAAAAGGAGCAGTGTGGTCTGATGATATATCTGGTAAATATTAAACAGGGGTGGGCCTGTAGTCTGGGAGAGGAATGCAAATAAACCAAAAGGAGCAGTGTGGTCTGATGATATATCTGGTAAATATTAAACAGGGGTGGACATGTTGTCAAGGTTTGAAAATATGTGAGGCAAAAATAGAAGAGGCAAATTTTTATAAGTGGGATGAGAAAAAGAGGATATAATGTTACTAAATTACATCATTTTCAGTTTCAGTTGTCTATTGTTAATTGACATTTTGCAATTAGCATTCAAAAGACATAATTATTGAATTTAAAATATATTTTCATGTAATTGATATTTTCATCAGTTCAATGAGGTTTATGTTCACTTTCTGTTGTAACCATCTTTATTATCTCATTATAAACAAATTACCAATATACAGGGTGGTAATGAAACAATACCACCACCCCCTAACAGCAAAACATATTTAATGATAGATTATGTGTCATATATCATTTTAAAGAAAATTCAATTTTTTCTAGAGAGTACACTGAAGTTGATGATCCAGGACTGCCATACTGGAGGGACAGAAACTATGGCAAGGACCCTAAACACTGCTCTTATGTACATGGCAATCAACCCATCAATACAAAAACAAGTAAGATCATTGACAATATATGTGATACACAACCAAAAAACAAACAAAATATGGGGTGATTAACACTAAGCTTAAGTGATGTTGTTCTATTATATTTTGGCTACTCCCATATTTTGGAAATTCTACACATTTTACACTAGAAGACAGAGCCAGAAAGCCCTTTAGGGGAAGTTCTGTGTTCTTTCATGCGCACTAGTACACATATATACAAGTACACACCATAAACTTTTTGACTTTCCAGCTTTATACTGTAAAGTTGAAACTTTAGGACGACTGAAACTTTATTGATCAAGATGGTTCTAAAATATCAAAAATACATTCTCTGTAATTTCAGCTCCAGGATGAGATTGACAAAGTAATAGGGGGAGCCACTATCAAGATGGCTGACCAGCAACGGTTGCCGCTTGTTCAAGCCACCATCTTGGAAATCCTCCGCCTGTCTCCAATGTTGCCTCTGGGAATGCCTCACATGAGCCATCAGGATAACACTGTTGCTGGATATCTCATCCCCAAGGAAACTGTGGTTTTCCCGAATATTTATGCCATTCATCATGATGAGGCACTCTGGGAAAATGCTGAGGAGTTTAAACCGCGGAGGTTCTTAGATGCGAATGGAAAGCTGAGTCAGACTGCGAAGAGTAATCTGTTAACATTCTCATTAGGTAAACTAATTTTACTGCATATTGGTTATTCTAATGTTAAAAACTGCTATTTTCTTCAATGTTACTGCATATTGGTTATTCTAATGTTAAAAACTGCTATTTTCTTCAATGTTACTGCATATTGGTTATTCTAATGCTAAAAGCTGCCATTTTCTTCAATGTTACTAGATATTGATTATTTTAATGCTAAAAACTGCTATTTTCTTCAATGTTACTGCATATTTATTATTCTTATGCTAAAAACTACTATTTTCTTCAATGTTACTGCATATTGGTTATTCTAATGCTAAAAGCTGCCATTTTCTTCAATGTTACTGCATATTAGTTATTCTAATGCATATGCTTAAAACTGCTATTTTCTTCAATGTTACTGCATATTGGTTATTCTAATGTTAAAAACTGCTATTTTCTTCAATGTTACTGCATATTGGTTATTCTAATGCTAAAAGCTGCCATTTTCTTCAATGTTACTGCATATTGGTTATTCTAATGCTAAAAGCTGCCATTTTCTTCAATGTTACTATATATTGGTTATTCTAATGCCAAAAGCTGCCGTTTTCTTCAATGTTACTGCATATAAGTTATTCTAATGCATATGCTAAAAACTGCCATTTTCTTCAATGTTACTGCATATTGGTTATTCTAATGCTAAAAACTGCTATTTTCTTCAATATTTAATTTGATCAAAGGTGCAATCTGTCAATTATCTCTTTAAACATATCTTGTTGGCTCAGAGTGATCGACATACATTATGCATGTTTGGTACAACGAAAAAATATAACAAGTTGCTATAATAAAGTTTAATCACTAAAATGAGGGATTTTCAATAAATATGATTACTGGTCAAATATTAAAAATTTACTTGTCAGTGTGCATAAAGAAGTTTGTTGATTTGCTATACTAAGTATGAACCACAACATCTGTTGAAAAAATTACAAATGATCTCCCAAAGTTTTTAAAAATCTCATATATTTATTTCCAGGGAATCGTAAGTGTCCAGGGGAGCAACTGGCCGATCAGCAGCTGTTCCTAATGATGACATCTTTACTACAACGCTATTATTTCGTGACACAATCTAAAATTGATAATTCTCATTTGAAACAAAATATGGGGCTGATGCTTCATGCTCAACCAATCAAATTGTGTGTTAGAGCACGTTAGATAAAAAACTTTCAGCCTTGACGTTACTGGGGTAGAGATTCATAGTGTGTGTTTGAGCTTATTAAGTTATGGTGGATAGACATTGGAGTTGAGTGTTAGTACATATTAGATCAAAGAACTTTCAAGAAATTTTCAAGATGGCTGCTTAATTTCAAAATGGCAGCCATTTTTCATTATCAAACTGATTGTTGTTAGATTAGGCTAGATGTAGGACCTCATCCTTTTAAATGGACAAACATTCAAGCTGTGTTTAATGCACATAAGATATTTAACGTTTTGTGTAACATATAAATGGACAGTGCTTTTTAGCCTTTATTTGGAGTTTTTATTTAATTATGTTTAAGGAAGTTAATGATAGTGGTATGATATTCCTTAAAGATTGAACCAAGTATCAAAAATTATGACCGATTTTGTCCTTTCACTGGTATTGTTTATTGTTGTGACAGCCATTTTGAAATCATAAACTCAAAATGGCAGCCCCCACTAGGCTTCTTTACAAAACTTAAAAAGGTTTCATAACTTATTTATAACCAAAAATATGAACAAAAATACTTTAAGTAAAAAAAGAAGTCTAGACTGTTAACTCCTTTTAACAGCAAATTTTCGAAAAAGAAGTTAACATATTTTTGTACTCGTATGTTTGAAATATTAAATAAAATCATAGATGTTATAAAACTAAGCTAAGAATATTTCCTTTATATTTATTTTTACAAAAGCTTGGTTAATAGTGAAAATATTAGATCACTACTCAGGTTATGCCTACATGTTATTTTTCTAGACCATATTTCTGAACTTAAAGTGACATTTATAGTGACTTATTGCCTGTGCTCCTATTGCAGCGCAAACAGTAGCATATAAGCGACCCAGGAGGGGGGGAGGGGGGGGGGGGAGGGGGGAGGAGCTTACAAATGTCTTGATTCAGCTTTCGGTGCAATTATAACAATGTAACATATGACCTTATTGTGGCCTGGTTGGCTTTATGGCCTGATTTAGCTACCTACAGTATTATCACTAACAAATCACAGTACATGTGTTAATAAAGTTAATATCCAACTTATCAAGACATACACTCCTCTCTATAGGTTTGACAACTGGAAGTCCCTTTTTGGGTCACTTATCAAAACCTGTATATGTTTGGCAATTGATAAAATTATCAAATTTGTCATCTATTTACCAACTATTGTTATAAAGGTACATTGATTTTAATGAAAAAAAAGAAAAAATATGATTAAATAATTTACAGGCTTTGATATGCTCCCAATAAAGACCCCGGTTGCTAAACTTTATGGAGGGGAGTGTATTCCTCTATTAATTCATGTTTGAAAAGTGAAAAAATCATCAAACATGTCTGAACTTTTACAAACTTCAAGAGTACATTTCAGATTCCATCACTGATATGCTATCCATTGCCCAGTTCCACTTCCAGTTGCTAAACTTTATGAAGGGGAGTGTATCTCTATGTAAATTCATGTTTGCAAAGTACATAGTGCTACTTGTCCTAAATACCAGGTACTTGTTCTTTCTTATCTGATATATATATATGAAATTCTAACATTAGGCTACAGTAATTAATTTGTAGGTTTAAGGTCCAGTGTAAAGTTTGAATATATGTTTTTATCATTTGAATATTAAGTTGTTTTATAAAGATTTATGCATAAAAATTATTTCTTGTTATGAAAATAACAAATAGAGTAATAGTTCCTAGTGCAGCAATATATTAGGAATAATATACATTCTTACTGTTCATCGGTAACCCCAAAATTGCTATTTCCTTAGAATATGAGACAAATTCAAAATCTTTCAAAAAAGATGTTCAAAATCCTTTCATTTTAAAGAGATGCTTTTCATAGCACATCTTGATAACATTTGATATGATAAAACTCCAATATAAGTCAAATAGTCCAAACTTTGCTTTATTTTCCTTTTATGTTTGTATACATTTATATTTTATTTACACTGGCCTTCAAACTATTACACGGGGATAACCTGGTGATAAAAATAACCAGGCAAGCCTTTTCACAACTTCTGCAGCAAGAACTAACAATGGATATACTGACGGCCATAATCATTGTGGTGCTACTATTTCTGGGATGGTGGTACGTGCTGCTAAAACCCAAATCTGGGTTACCCCCTGGGTTGCCACGATTACCAATACTAGGAAGCCTCCCATTTCTCAATGCAAACGACCTCCTTGGGTCGTTCCTTGAACTGAGGAAGAAGTTCGGTGATGTTTTCACGGTTTATATGGCAAACAGACCTGTCGTTTACCTTAATAGCTATGGGAGTATAAAAGAGGCCTTGGTACAAAAAGGCGAGAACTTCATGCACAGACCATATATTTACATGCTAACAGAGGCCCTGAGCGATGAAGGTAATTTGTGTTATTTTTACTCTCCAATTATTAACATGCAAAATGTCATCACCTGTCATCTGTTACAGAGATAGAAGGAAACCACCAAATGCCATACACTGAATGCCAAACACCAAATGCCAAACACTAAATACCAAACAATAAATGCCAAACACCAAATGCCAAACACTGAACGCTGAACACCATCCAAAAAAAGTTGGTGACTATGACAACTGTTGCAACTTTGGTGGTGACATAAAAACTGAAAAATCTTAAAAGATGGAATTTGGGAAAAAAGAAGTAAAAGACGCCAAAGTTTTATTATGGCTAAAAGGCATCATTCTATTAGCTCACTACGTGAGCAAACATATATCTCCAAGATGGGACTCAAGAGTAGGCACCAATATTGTAATTTACCAGTATGAAAAGTGTTGGATAAAAAATAGCATTTGTTTGAATCACAAAGGTGATTCCATAGGTGTACCTTCTGAGACAATAAAACTGTAGAATTTTCTTTTCAGGTAAAAACTCATTTGCGAGCTCTTCAGGGACCGAACACAAGACAATCCGTCACTTCAGTCAAAAAGTCCTAATTCGACAATTTGGATTTGGTACGAAAAAATTTCAAGATAAAATTATCGAGGAGCTCCAAGCGATGTTTGCTGAGATGGATAAGAATTGTGGGAAGCCGTACGACACGATAGACTTGCTTGGGATGAGTATGTCGAATATGGTGAACATTGTGCTATATGGAAAGAGAATGGAATACACTGACACACTCTTCTTGGGAGTCATTCAAAGTAAGTCTTTATATGGAGGTTAAGTCCTTATATGGAGGTTAAGTCCTTATATGGAGGTTAAGTCCTTATATGGAGGTTAAGTCCTTATAGGGAGGTTAAGGTAAACTCATATGGAATTTTTATGAATTTTCATAATTACCGTCACATAATTATTAAAACAAATGACATTTGTTTCATAATGAGTAAATATCCACATAATATGAAAAATACCGTAACGATATTATTACTCAATATTTTATTGAACTGTTATTCCAACATAATTTTAACACAATATTTTGATTTTGAACTATGTATGGTATAATAACATGTTAATATCTGCAATATCTCATGATGCAGAACTACCTTAACATAAACTTTTGTTCTTATGCCCTAAATGGTGACATTCTACCATTTAGTGGACTCATATTAGACTACATGGCGAAAAAGCAGATTTCTCCAATATGGGACAAAAGTAAGAGCCAGGACAATGGTGTGAATAAATTACCAGTAAGGGGCCTCGTAGAATGGATATAAACAGTGATATATAATACATGTGACTGAATAAACAAGATATTAACATGCAAAATATGTTACCACCATTTGCTACAGACACCAACCACCAAATACCAACGTTGAACATTAACCACAACACCATTCACAAAAATCAATAAATAAATAACAATCTGGTCCACTTCTGATGATGACATAAAACCATGGATGCAGGGGTTCAGGCATCAACCACTGTGTACCTTCTTCTGCTGAAGTCAAGTCTAAAGAATGAAGGAGCAGCCTGAATGATGTCTGGGTGCCTACATTCCAGGATAATAGAAAACAGAAAACTGAAAAACTTTATCATAACCTACCTGGTAATCATATTCCCATGAATGAAATATACTTCTTCTATTCAGATCTACAAAAAGCGTGTAGAGACATGAACGCTGGCCAGATGCTGAACATATATCCATGGTTAAATCAAATGCCTTGGTATAATCAGGTCAAAGAAAATATGTCTCTACGAAAACAAGACCAGAAACAATTTTTGGCGCAGATGCTCGAAAGGCATGCCAATGGGGATGATGATGTTAAAGATAGTTTCATGCAGGCCTGGCTTGATAAGATTAATCTAGAGAGGAATTCTGAAACTCCAGAGCCTGTTTTTAATGGTGAGTTTTTTCCCATGTTTCAATGGTGACTTTGATGTTTTCGCTTTTTCCCATGATTCATATTTGATTATATGAGTAATCACTAAGGGGATTCAGATGATCTCATATTGAGTAAATGTTGTTTTTTTTCGTCTGCCATAATTATGGTAGTTACTGTCCGGTATTATTCGCGTGCGATTAACTTTCGCGCTTTTCGCGATGGTGTTAAAATCGCGAAAAATTATCGTCGCGAAATTGCCAATTAAATCCCCGGGAATTTGTTTGGATCGATTAACTTCAATATTTAGGTTGGCAAGTCTGATACTAATATAGTAGTACTGTGCAACTCCAGAATGGCTCCCAGAATGCAACATTGATACTCTCACGATTCTTGATGTTGTGAGTACAAAATTCGAATAACTACTAGTGATCCAAAATACGAATTCAAACGATGCGATAATAGAAGTTGATATGCAGCTTGCCGATGATAAAGATCCCAGTTATTGTAACTATGACATCAGGTAAGTGCAATTACTGTACATCTACTAGTAATTTAGCTTGAGAATTCCGAGAATAATGAATTTCAAACTTGTGAAATTCGCGAAATTTAATAGCCGCTAAACCGTGTTTTCGCAAAATTCGCGAATAATACCGGGTGTACAGTATCCATATAGAGATATTAATGGCAGTTATCCATATCGAGATGTAATCTATATGATATGATATAAAGCATGGAACAGCAAAACCCATTATTGAATCTACATTTTTCCTGTGTAATCTGATGTACATCTAACATCACTCTAAGTTGAGCATCTGAATGTGACCCATTAATTTTTCTCTGTCGATGTCCTGATTTTGTACTCTCCCATTGAGTACCATGTTAAAAAAACTTTGGATATCTGCTTATTCATACATTCTTGGCCAGCCCAGTGACATCCAGATCAGACAGGTTTTATCATATATTCATAAGCTTTGAAACTTAACAGCTTTAAGTTGTTTTCAGAGGTGCAGATGCGACTGGTTATGAATGATTTATTTTCTGGCGGGGCAGAGACATCAAAGAGTATCATTTACTTCCTATTGGCCTATATGCTGCACTACCCACAGTTACAAGCCAGGGTAGGTTTCGTTTAACAACTCTCTTGCAGGCCCGTAGCCAGCTTTTGCCAAGGGGAGTTTGCTTTTACAAAGTTCCAAGAGTTCATATTTGACCATTTTGCCCCAAGACCACTTCAAAATAGATCAGAAAGATGAAATCTACATGAATATGAAAGAGTTTTTGGTCAGGTTGGGTCAACTTAATCTATAATTATTTGATATAAATATGAACGCGATATGTGTAACACATGACTTTGTGCCTTTACAGATTCAAGATTCAATTCGTCAACATATTGGAGAAACAGAGCCACCTACAATGGAACACCGCAACAAATGTGTCCTTGCTGAGGCCACAATTCTAGAAGTCCTCAGGTGTCATCCTCCTCTCCCATTGGCTGTACCACATACCAATCACCATGACGACACAATAAATGGCTATTATATACCTGCCAATACCATGGTGATGCCTAACTTACATGCAGCACATCACGATGAGAAATATTGGGAGAATCCTTCTGAATTTAAGCCTGAAAGATTTATTGATGCCGACGGACAGATTGATAAAGTCAAATCTACCCATTTGGTTGTATTTTCTATGGGTAAGCCATACCAAGCATAATCTAAAACTTATTATCACTATCTTGTGAGGCCTTAGGGTATTAGGATATAGTACTAGTTTAGAAGGCTTATATTTTGCTCTATTGATTTGAGCAATAGGTGGAGCCATATAGTGGTCATTATCCGTCCTAATCCAGGGTGAATAACGGGTTCGTACTTAGTTTTAAATATGTGGTGATAATACTCATTTCATCATTTCAGCGGGTGACATTGTGAAATCTTGGCCTGTTGCCCTTAGGTCGAATGAGGTTATTGGTGTAATTCTCGAATTTTGCACTACTATCATCTATAGTGACATTGTTGGACTTATTTGATTTTCCATTTCAGCTTTAAATCTTAAAGACAGCTCTACAAATTTTAACTTTCCAAATATTTGTGAATGATAATATTTCTTAAATCAAAGTTCGTAAAAACCAAACTGAAAAGACTTAAAACCAAAATGCAGTGACTGAGAAGCACTAGAAAAACTATTTAATGATGAGCTATTAATTAGCTTGACTAGATTTGAAAGTGTAAGGATGATATCAACTTTTAAACAAGGCATCATCATGCAAAATGTCACCACTTTCCATTTGTTACAGATGCCAACTATCTAACACAAGACACAAATCGTCGAACACCTTCCATAAAAAATGGACACAATTACAATATGTCACAACTTGTGATGGTAATATAAAATCTTTAATTAACACAAAATATTAATATCCGTATTTTGCAGGCAAACGAGTGTGCCCAGGGGAGGCGCTGGCGAGGATGGAATTGTTCCTCACATTCACTGCGTTACTACAGCGATACACATTCACACTGCCCCCTGGTGAGAAACTGCCATCTTTAAAAGTAACACTTGGACTCACATTATCGATACCACCCTACAAGATATGTGCTACCAGAAATAAAGTGCAGGAATGATCAAATTTATGTGCGCTCATGAATTTAATGGTTTACAACGGTGTGACACTGCTTCCAAATTATCCATTTCTACAGGGTGAGCCCAAAAAATGTCTACATTTTTAGTGATACCTTTTAATAATGCATATATATATTTATATAAAAATATGGACATTTTTGGCCCATGCTGTTCATTTTCATAAATGAACTTTCCTGCTAAATAGTGAAATCTTAAATATGCAAAGTAGAACTATACCATGCATTAGATGTGTTGAATTTCTATTGTGCATACATAAATACTAGGGATCCCACGATTGCTCGATGCACCGATATTATCGCTAGAAATCACCTCTGATTCGATTAATCGATATGGATCCTCTATTTTCGATATTATCGATAATCGTTTTTCAAATCGACTTACCCGTTAATTAAGTAAAAGAGCTCTATTAAACCAAAATTGACACAGCAAAACACCGGGAAAATCAAAAATTAAAAATATTTTGAAGAGCTAACATGACACGCCACATATTTTCGTGATTCAAACCGAACGTGAACTTTTTAGCAATAAATGGATTTTCAGTAATTTTGCGAACATTTGTGATTTTAGATGCCCTATGTGCTTTTCCATACCAAATATTATACCATTGATTATCTTAATACGTAATAAATGCGATAGGGCCCTCGACGTATCTTTATTTTAATGTTTTAAGATGTTACAGTATCTTTCCAAACCCATGAATATATTTACCGAACGACAATCAAACATGACGTTCGAATATTTTATGAATAGTGAAACCTCGGCGAGATTTAAATCCCATTTTTTTGCTGATATTCGTAATATATGGAGAACAACATCGCAATAAACACAACCAAAAGGTAAGTCTGAGGTGTGGAGGTCTTTAAAAAACCCAACATTCAATAACAACACCACTTTCTACCCTCAGAAGTTTAACTTTGAAAGTTTTTTTGTGGGGGGACTCACCCCCCCATGTATACACAGACATTTACATGAATATGCTTGCCCGTAGCCAGCTTTTACCCCCAGCTCCCCCTCTGGCTACGGGCCTGAATATGTGTATCGAATCGTTTGTATCGAATCATTTTCATAATATCGAGATACGTATCGAATCGAAAAAAAATGTATCGTGGGATCCCTAATAGATATAGGAACAGAAGATCCACAAAACATATTCCAGATATGGGAGACCTCTATTTTATTTGGAGAATGGTTTTCAACCAATACTATATGTTCAAGAAATAAATAGTGTCCTGTGAAAATGTCTGATAATCAAATAACTAGAAAAACACGTTGTGTTTGTTTAATAATCTTCAGTGAAACCTGTAAAGTGGAACATCTCTAAAAGTGGAACACTTCTGTTTGTGTAACACTTTTCAGAGTCCCAAGACAAAGTGACTTAAAAGTTAAATGAAACTCTATAAGTGGAACACCTCTGTTAGAGGAACACTTCAGAGTCCCAAGACCAACTGACTTAACTGTTAAATGAATCTCTATAAGTGGAACACATCCTAAGAGAAGTGCATATCATACAGATTTTAAATAGATGTCACTTTTGATAAATGTGTTAACTTTCGTAAACACAAACTACATTGACACACATTCATGGTGCCCCCTGGTGAGAAACTGCCATCTTTAAAGGTGACACTTTGTCCCCGTAAGCATGTGGCATGTGGTCAAAATATCACTATTTTGTAATGTATGTACAGAGTCCCAATAACAACTTTGTTTATATTAAATGAACCTCTATGAGTAGAACAACTCCTAAGTGGAGTGTATATTATACAGATTTTAAATAGATGTCACTTTTGATAAATGTGTTCACTTTCGTAAACACAAACTACATTGACACACATTTATGCTTACCTGTTAGAAACTATTTTGTAATGTATGTACAGAGTAATGTATTATGTTACATGGTTAAGTATTAGGAAGATTCTTACCACATAGCGCAGCATGAACACCAGATTGTCTTTCAAAGAACCTACAACGGAAAATAAATACGTCAATAGAACTACCAGTGTTACCATAGCAATCAGATGCTCAATATTGAAATAGATACAAGAGTACAGATTGACATATATGTACACCTATCACCCGCAACTTTTCTTTCAGTGCTGCTTTGATGTCCTGCCACCAAATCTGATGTCATTTTGTGACATCAAATTTTCATCACAGAAATGACACATCATTTTGTTTCGGTTATCTGAGTTATCTTTTACAATAGTCGTCCCAGGTATATCAATTGTAGGTGTTAATATCAAAATAAGTAAATTAAACACTAATTTATATTACACATGGCTTGGTGCAAACATTAGAGTTGCCCAAAAAGATATTGGAACAAGGAATCAACATGCAAAATGTCACCACCCGTCATTTGTTACAGATGCCGACCGTTAAACGCTGACTGCCAAACACCACTCACAAAAAAGTAGCAGACTTTAACTATATGTTACCACTTCTGTTGGAGACATAAAATCAACTGATGGCCCTTACTTATCATTTAGCTGTGTTTCTGCAGATTCCCACTTTGTAAATGCATCTGGTCCAGACGTTGCTTGGTTTCTCAGTATATCTTTGACTGTTAGGAAAAACTCCTACAAAACAACGAAATCAAACAACGCTTGCTTAAAACAAATTCATAAAATAAATAAAAAAATGAAGATTCATGAAATAAATCTTTGTCGTTATTAAAGCATAAAAATAACTAAAACACCTCAAACACCTCTATAATCTGAACACTTTTCAATGTGAACACTTTCTCAATCACTACTTCTATCCCCCATGGGCCAATATTTAAAAAACTTCTAAATGTAAATGCATGCTTATGTAAACAGTTTTGACTGTTCCAAGTAGCATTTGGATTATACTGTTCTTATAGAAAACAAAAAATATGGATAATATTAGTACTGTGTACTCTAATACTTACGTTAAAATGTTTCTCATATGTAATTGCAACTTCCATCGTGTCCTGACTGTAGTTTAATGTGTCGGCCCACGCATGTAACAAGAACGCAAACCTTAATTGGCGAGAACTGTGTGTTTTTAAAGCATCCTGAATCGAGATAAAGTTTTTGAGAGATTTTGACATTTTGCATCCTTCTATAGTGAGATGGCCGGAGTGTAGGAAGTAGCGGACCCAGTTGTCGTTACCAAAATACGCCTGAAAAACAACAGATATAACGCCATTATATTTCAACAGTCATTTTGGACAACTTCAAAACTTAACAAGTACAACAACTGCTAATTATAATAATTATGACAGAAAAATGAAAACCTAGAAAGAATGCTAAAACATAATACAAGCCATGACATTATTTGTAAAATTCACAAATGGTATTTGACGTATTAACTATTCATTATGACATACATATCAACTAATCAACCTTAATGCAGATATGGTGATTAATGGCCAAACAGTATTTACATGCAAAAAGATTATACATAAAACATAATTTAGTGTCTCCTGTATTCTTTGCGGAAAAATAAATTTATACTACCAAGCACAGGCCCGTCGCCAGGGGGGGGGGGGGGTTCGATGGGTTCCCCTTGGCCAAAAAATCTTTATAAAATCATGCAGTTTTTCACCATTCTGAGCACTTTCTAAGTGATTTTGGCCATTTTTGGACCAAAATTGTCACATGTGAACCTCCCTGGAATTTTTCAAAAAGTGAACCCCCCTTGGCAAATCCTGGCTACGGGCCTGTAGCATATGCATAAAAATGTTTCTAATACCTCAGCCTGGGCCAGTTCATTATCATGATGTGGAAATTTGAGATCATAACCTCCCGTATGAATATCTAGTGAGTCTCCTAATATACAACTAGCCATTACAGAGCACTCTATATGCCAACCGGGTCTTCCTTTGCCCCATGGTGACTCCCACGCAGGCTCTCCTGGCTTGGATGCCTTCCATAAAGCGAAATCATTGGCACTTCTCTTGTCATTTAGTCTGTCTTCTGAGATACTGAGATCACCTAGGGAAATTCGAAAGGGTCTTAATGTTCACTCTTACAGTGGAACATGATAACAAGTGGAACACCTCTGTTAGTAGAACACGTTTCAAAGTCCCAAGACCAATTGACTTAATGTTGAGATGAACTTCTATGTGTGGAACACCTAAGTGGAACACCTCCAAAGTGGAACATTTTTTAGAGGTCAAAAGGCGTTTCCCGCTTTGAAAGAAAAGAACTTTTTTTTAGAAAACTCCACTGGGTATAGGATAAAGCAGATATGTACGGTTGGTTTGAATATGGGATTTATCCCTTGTGAGCTATGCACTCCATATCCAAATCCTCCCAGTACATAACCCTTATTTATTAGACTCCAGATGAAATATGTTCAATTTCCATTTCTAGTTATTGAATGATTTTATGTTATCACAATGAATATCATGGCCATGGTGCAAGTTAGACCTTATTTCCATATATCTTCAGGTTTGTTACTACACACCTTCTCCTTCCTTTAGAGCTTTACTGTCTCCAAATGCCTCTGGTAGAAGTTTGGCATAGAAATGTCCTTCTGATTGGCTGAACTTGGTAGTCTCAAAGTATACAGATCCTCCAGCCTCATATCTGTAACACATGAAAGAATGGTACAGTAACATTTAAGTAGATAATCTCTATAAGTAGAACACCTCTGTAAGTGGAACTGTTTTGAGATCAACTTAATGTTAAATGAACCTCGAAACACCTCAAAGGAGTTTCGCTTTGACAAGTTTTACTGTATTTAGTTTTCTTTTAAGGGTCTAGATTTTGACAAGCCACATACTTGGACTTTGAGCAGTTAATTATTAAAAATGCTCAGCCCTTTTCTCTAAAATGCTTATCTCAAGTAGATTAATATACTTGAACAGTTTACTTTAAAACAGAAAATCTTAAAATAAAATGTATATTTTGCATACAATATTATACTCAAGACAATTCAGCACACATAATACATATCCATGAATGAACTAGTAAAGAACAAAATAGAAGTAAAAATTTATTGAAAAATGGCAGCTTCACAACTTAGCTTGAAACCGTACCTTACTAAATCTTCAAAGAGACCTATTCACAACATTGAGTTAACTGGACCTTTTCCTAAGCCTAAGGACTATGACACTTTAAAAGGCTACAAAATACCAACTTCTACCTCTGATGGAGCAGAACATTTAACAGAATTTGTGAAATATATTGCATCAAAAGTTAATGTCAAGAATAGATACACACCAGAGCAGCTGAAGGAACATACTGAATATGTTGAGAGGTTTGTGAAAGAATTCTGTATAAATTTTGGAAGGCACATTCCAAAGTGTTTTTTCAAGAAGAAAGGAAAACCTAATCCAGTACTTGAATCTAACAATATCATCAGAAGAGGGAGTTCATATGAAGGCACTAAGATTATATCACCGAGTGAATACGATTTCATTCCAATCTTTGCATGGTCAGGTGATGCAGTAGTCAATGTGGAGGAGGTGGGGGAAATGTGTGATGTGGCAGGACAGGGATATGGTTTCATCAATATACAACATGGTGAACTGCACAAGTTGTTTCCACAATTTGTACTTGTAGAGAATCAACCTGGTATGAGTGGATCAAACAGATCATCTCAGAAATCATCACCTCATGGGACTATTCCCGAGAGTCAACCTGGTTCAAGTAAACTGAAAACAGTCTTTCTATCAACATTGCATTCGGCCATTGAATCCTACCTGAGTGACAGTGACAAGTATGAGTACATTGGTGAAAAAGATCATGATGAGGATCCAGAGTCTCCATATCCACTGGGAACCATCAGTCTACATAAGTGTAGACATGGTACCAGTGTATGGTTACGAATTGGTGCCCCCATCTGCACAACAGACATAGATCTCTCATTTGCAGTGGAGAATATGAGTGATACCCAGGGAAGGTGTGTTATGGTGGGTGAGTGGAATGTGGACTGTGACAAGTGTAATAAAAGAGATACTCACTGGACTGAGTCACTTATACATGCAGGACTCCAGGATGATACAAATACACACACATTATCAACAAATCACCATTATTTATTCCTGACATTAAAATATATCAAACATTTGATTGAAACAAATCTCAAAATAAAAACATATTCTTCTTCATATTCATACAAAATGCTGCTTCACCATCACCAAAGAGGTTGTCAGAATGAGAATGTTGGACAGTGCTTTGAGGACATAGTGAACCAGTTCTTCACACATAAGAAACAATGTATTGATGAGATTGAAACCAATATATACAATTATAATGACCTGAATGAAGTACCAGACATAAATTACCCTAAGAGGATGATACAACTTAAAATCCACTCTTCTGAATGTGCTGTCCTACTGTGGATCATGCAGCATGTGAAGCACACCACTGACACATCCTGGTGGGACATGTTGCTGCAGGAAGACCTCAAACCAGATGATATCAAAGAGGATGATATGCTTTATTCCTTGCTGGACATAGTACAACAGATAGATAAATTCAAGAGGAATAAAAAGCTCAAGAAAGGTTCAGTGCTTGATCTACAGTGGCTGCATAAGGACAACACCAAGACAGTATATAGATGGATTAAGGACTGGGGTCAAGATTAAGATTTACTCTCAGATATTACACTAGATTCTTATTCTAAATAGATTCATTAATGACTGGAATCCAGATTAAGATTAAAACTCACTCTCAGGTATAGCACTACCAAGGATAAAAAAGACAAATTCTATACACTATACAATACAAAACATATCTAATGTGAACACTGGTGAGACTGGCTAAAAGTATTCTTAACTTTGTGCTAACATAAAAGGCTTAGGAAACATGTGAGTAATATTCACATTTCAAAGAATTCTTTTGAAAGATATTCATAAACATGCTTCATAATGGGTTGATGTTCAGTTTGATGCTTGTAATATTCACATTTCAATGAATTTTTTTGAAAGATATTCATAAACATGTTTTATAATGGGTGGATGTGCAATTTGACACTTGTAAGGAATATTTACATTTCAATATATTCTTTTTGAAAGATATATTCACAAACAAGTTTTTATAATGGGGTAACATGATTTGACACTAACCAGGGGCATAGCCATGATCTAAAATAGGTGAGGCAAATTTGAATAGAAGCAAAACTTAAGTTGAGGCAATATAATACTAAAGTCTATAGTATTACCAATCCCACTTCATTTTACAAGTTCTATCTGAAAAATGTATGCACAAATATTTCTTTAAGAATTTTTGGTGAGGCAATTTGCCTCACCTGGCTTTTTTGCCTCACCTATCTGGCTATACCCATGTTGACTCCTAATATTCAATTAGAACCCCATCAGTTGAGCATTGCATAGTTCAAACTGGCCTAGGTAGTTATTATACAACATTTTGAATTGAAAAAAACAACTAAAAATCAGACATTGCATGTCATATTCTAAAAAGATGGCAAGGTGGTTTTACATACTAATGATGTACTGTGAAGGGATGTACTGAAGCGTACTGCATGTTTAAAACATGCTGATGATGTAAAGTGTACTGTATGTTTTCACTTTAATTCATCATTACATTAAGCAAAAAGCTGGCAAATTATTTGTCATTTTAAAGTCTCTTCCTGTTTGTGATTTGAGTAAAAGAGACACCTAGATTGGAATGTTCCAATGATTAAACTTCCTCCCTCCTATGAAATTTACAATGCCCACTTATCATGTAGATTTAATTTTAATAACTTGGGGAGGGATACTCTGACACAGAATAGTCACTACAAACTTGTAAACCAGGAATTTTGAATTTGAATGTTTATACATACCCAAATCATAATCCAACATTAGAATCATTCAGCCTTGTTAGAAAATCACTATTTTTGAGGAAGATGAGAAAATCACTTTTTTGGAGAAAGATGAGAAAATCACTATTTTTGGAGAGATGAAACTTAAAATTTTTAGTCATCATATTTTGGGATCCACTTTTTCTCACGTGGACCCAGATTTTTTTCAAATGTGGGGTCTCAGGGATCCTCTTTTTCAGACCCTAATGAAAATACTGGTATAACAAAAATTCAAATTCCTGGTGTTCCACCTTACCCTTTGCATTATACCCTATACATTCTGAAATTTTTGTAGGTTTAACTATAAAATGCTCTGTCAAGTTCACTGTCTAAGATGTTATTATTGCTACATATAGACATTTACAGATAATAAAAATGTCTAAAAACTAGACCAGATCTTTCTGAAATGATTAAAACATAAGTTTGCTCAAATTTCATCATCCTCGTGTTGTACCCTACCCCCATGTTCAACTGTCACACTTAATTTGGTACACACCCTGTGTTAATGGGAAATCATTGAAAATGTATGAATTTCATGAACAAGAATCTAGCATACTCAAAACACAAGTACTACAACTGACTTTAAAAAATATCCACAAATCTTGATTAATGTTCAAAGTACAACCCTGGTCAATGACTCAATGCTATAAATATTACACTTCACCATGTGAACAACATTTACACACAATGTGACAAGGTCAAGTCAAGTGTCAGACTGTTGTATTTTATACTATAGCTGTGACAGGCAAAAATTTGAAGACTGCAGACATAACAAAGTGATAGACTGATTTAGGTAAGAATAACACTCATAAAGTAATTTGAGTTGCTTCACTGAATGATCTATGTATCGCCCATTATATCACGGTGTTATAGCATGACGGTTACATCAAGGCGATTTGCAAAATTTTGCTGTAACGATCAAAAAATGGCGGATGGGAAAGGCAGCATGTCCTCTTTCTCGCCTGTAGGCAAGATTCACAGATAAGATTTCCCTTTAAACTAGTTCCATTCGGTGACATATATATGGATGGTTATAAAGACTGGGTCAAATTTGCCAGGTGGTCTACAAGAAGCAGAATATAAGCTGTTAAACTACCGACTGAGATATCCAAGTTCATAATTTTTATATAGAAAATCTTGATATTTATAAGGTATTACTCATTTATTTAGGAGTCCAGATTAATGTGTCAAGCCTGCGCTACTATGTACACAGCCAATATAATTCGACGCCGTTTCGGCATCTAAAAAATTCGGCACTGTTCCGGCACCGTTTCGACACCGTTCCGGCACCGAAACCTTTCGACACCAAAATTTGCTACCGGACTAGTCAGTCCGTTTGGTGCCGAAACGGCACCGAAATTTGGCACCGAAACGGCACGAAAATCAGATTGCATTTTGGGGGTGTAATATAATAATAAATACATACTTGCAAAGAAAAGAATTAGTTACAATCGACTCCATATGGAGCTCTATTATGTAATACCTTTCAGGACGATAGGTTCCTTTTGGCATCATTATTTTTATTTATATACATCAATGAAATGACAATATATATAGATATAGCGGCTGCATTTGACACTGTTCCCCACAACCTACTTCTTTATAAACTTGCAAAGTATAACTTTGATCAACCCACTGTAAATCTCATCAAATCCTATCTCTCAAACAGAAAATTTTTTGTTAACGTCAATGGCAATTTATCCGAACCCTCTGAAGATCACTATGTAAATGCAGGGGTTCCTCAAGGTTCTTTATTAGGACCACTTCTTTTTCTCATTTATATCAACGATTTGCCAGACTTAGTTAAATCACTGTGTTGTATTTATGCGGATGATACATCCATTTTTCGCAATTTGACCCAGCAAATCCAAATCACTCACTGGCTATTCTTCAATATGATCTGAATCTGATTTCCAAGTGGTCTGATACATGGAAGTTATTTTTCAAAGCCTCAAAAAGTGTGGATTTGACGTTTATTAAATCTAGGCAAGAAGCTCCCGACCTTGCACCCTTATTTCTTGGAAAATATGAAATTCCAAAGGTTCGATCTCATAAGCATCTTGGTGTTATTTTTGACCACAAATTAACTTTTAATGACCATGCTAGACATGTGTCAAATAAGTATCAAAATATGGTAAATGGCTTAAAGGCAATCTCTAAAAAAGTTACCTCAAGACATCTTGAAAAATTTTACAATGCTTTCATTTTACCGATTTTAGACCATGGTGATTTATTTTATGCAGCGGCATCAAAATTTGAGCTGGCCAAACTCGAAAGCACTCATTATAAAGCTGGTTGTATTATAAGTGGAGTCATCCATGGATCAAGCAAAATTAAAGTTTTTGACATCCTGAACTGGAAAACTCTTGAATCTAGAAGAAATTACCATAAACTCTTGTACATGTTTAAAGTCTTTAATAAGATGAAACCTTCATATGTGTCAAATGTATTCAATGCGTATTTAGCTGATCATAACAACACTCAGTTGAGAAGAGTGCGATACTATAAGGTACCTGGAAATATATCAGCCAGGTTATTAAACTCTCCATTATTCCAACTTATGAGCTCTTGGAATAATGTTGATCAATCTCTCTCCAAAATAAAAGAATTCTTGCATTTTAAATATCGCCTTAAGAATTCCATTCAGGATGAAAATATATATACATGTATCATTCCAACTACTAAAATGCTTATATCAAGAAAGAAAGAAATCGCCTTAAATAGACTTAGGGTTGATTTATTTCTAAATGCTCACTTCTTTGCTCACAATTTTAATTCAGTCTTATCCCCAGCTTGTTCATGTGGAAATAAAATAGAAGACAGCAAACATTTCCTTCTCAATTGCACCCTATACAACCCCCAACGGAACAAACTTTTCGCAGAGCTTGCAAAATTCAATGTGTTTGATTATTTCAAGCAAATGAATATGACAAACAAAGTTAAATTACTTCTGTTTGGAAATTCTAATAAAATGAATTTCAAAACAAATGAATCTCTGGCACACGCAATTTCAGATTTTATAGAATCATCAAACAGAGATTGACAGACTTTGTAAACATCCTTTTCATGTCCTAGTGTCACCTTCACCATCATCATTTCATTCTTCATACTCATTCATTTTATCACATCTTTTTTAAATTCTTTTTTACATTTATTTTCCAATCAAGTTATTGCCTGTATGTATTTTATCTATTTGTGAATATGTCTGTAAAGCCTCAGGGCGATTGACATTATTACACTTTGTTAATTGTAATATACTATTCATGCAATAAATATTAAATAAATATAACTATTAAAAAAAAAAAAAAAATGACAATATCTCCAGTAAACGTCTATTGAATATTTTTACACTAAATTTTGACTAGTTGTTTTAATGTGATAATTGTGTTATAAATTGTATTTCAGTAATAATATTTAAGTTAAAGGTCCCGAGGCGGAGGTAATTTGCAGTTATCACCTCAAAACTGCTCTTACTTGTCCGTCACGAGGGCCAACTTTTTCCTCTCATATTCCTATTATATTCGTGAATTTCACGTCAGGAAAGGGTTAAAAATGTTCAAGTATTCTTATAAATGTTCAAAGTCTAAGTGGTATAAACATGTTGCTGCTTTTACATTACTTTATCACTTTATAAAACTGAAACATGTGAAGAATGATTTAAAGTAAGCTCCTGGTACCTTAACCAATAATTGCAGAATTTGAGAATGTTTTGGTTTGCACACATTAGGCGCATTTAGTGCTAGTG